GAAATTCGCAGTAAGTCAGTAAGTTAGTATCTCAAATCTTACAATTGGAATCTCATATCAAAATTATCAAATAGAAAGAGCTGCAAAAGTCTTAACTTGATCTCATATAAAGTCACGAATTACTAATCGTAATAATGTCAAACACTTAAGTTTGATTACAGAAAAACCCGAGATATTTTTGTTCAATATCATTCTGTTTTTGTTGTTTATTCATAAGACCTTGCCAAAATAATGACATAATAAGTGTCTGATTCCGTTATGTATGACACAAAATATATGCTGCTTAAATTACTAATGAAAAAGAACTCACAGCTGCAGTAAGACGATCACAAGGATGGTGCAAACTAAATTTATTAAAAAGAATTGACAGGAGAAGAAACCCTTCTGTCTCTGACACTTACTAGTATAAATCATACTAAACATTTGGTTCAAATAAGCTAAGGAATTGTGTGCACTAAAATATACAATACAATAGAGGATTAATTCACACTTTTCATGCATTAACATCTACAGAAGCGTGAAGACGCATTCTGAGGCCCTCATTCTATGGGCTCAGGTTTCAATTTCTGTAGATGTTGATGCACAAAAAAAAATGTATTAGTCATTCTGTTTCGGTGATTCTACGATATGTTGTTTTCCGCATAAAGAAACTAGTTTTGTATTGATTTTAACTTTGATTTTTGTGTGTTTATGTTTTGATAACAAGGTAACTGGGGATCATTATTAAAATCAGCGGCTTTGCATGGTATCAGAATCATGCAATTGACAAGAGCTATTGGTAGGACATCATAAAGTGTTAGTCTGTTCTCGGTGCTTTATAGCTAAACAAGAACCTAGATTATGAAGAATTCTCTATATTTAAAAGGGACATAATTCTGTCAAAATCCATGATAGAGTTATTGACCTTTAACAGTGACCTTATATTATGCTAAAAAATAAGTGTATTAGGGTTTAACGTATTGCAATCATGAATTTTTCACAAAACCAACTTGCATGAAAAACTTGTAAAGCTGACGCCTTTGGTGTACAATATCACTTGCTCCCTATTCTTTGAAATATCAAGCTAAATAATGTGCTCGCATGGTTTTATCCATAAATGCAAGTTTTTTTCTCTGTAAATGTACATCTGTATATGCAGTTTTATGCAGGAATACCCCTTTTTTAGTTTGTTTCATGTATTAAAAGTGTTGATGATACAAATTACCTTTATTATAGAAATTTGTCAAAATATCATCATTTAATGGCAGCCATATTGGATTTTGAAGCCATATTGAATTTTCTACCAATGCTACTTAAGCAGTTTTCCAAGAAATTACTATTTTTGACCTATAATGTCAATTTATTTCATTTTCTAGTCATAAATAACTTCATTTTGACATGACCTGTGTACATTTTACATTTTGGCGGCCATCTTGGATTTTGGCGGCCATCTTGGATTTTTAAAAAGTGGATCCCAGGCTGAAATAACTTGAAATACCATTCCTTGACACCATGCCAAGTTTCATGCTTTTCACAGAAGGTGCACAATTTTTTCACAAATTTCTTGGACTATAACGACTAACTAAGGATTTATACGCTAATTGTTTTACTTTTTCATTTTTGTATTTTTATTGCTTTTGGTGAATCCAAGGGTTTTGCTTGTGTTTGATGTTATTCTTGAGGTGTGTGTATTGTGGATAGGACTGTTCTAGGCCAATGTATTTTGAATTTGGGACTGGTATTAAAGCTTGGCTTGAGGGGTTGGGTTCCATGTCCCACTCCCTTTCCCAGATTTGCATCTTATTGAGATCCTTCTGCAAGGATTATGAGTCTGAGGAAGAATTTATAGTGATGTAGACCACAATGTCATCTGCAAAGAGGCGAATATGAGACTTGGAAACAGAAGATGGAAGTTCATTAATTAATAGTATATAAATAAGAAAGCAGAGTTGGCCAAGGGGATGCCGGCCAGATTTTCTTCTGTAGATTGTTCATCATATAGTACAACAGTTTGACACCGACAATTTAGTAAGGACAGAACATGTCCAATTGAAAATTTGTGTTGAGACACGGTTCACTTGAAAGGTAAGGAGTAATTTACGATGATTTACTTTACCATGGACTTTGCTAAAGTCAAGGAGAATAAAAGCTGTTTGTTTGCCTGCTAATATGCTGTTGACAAGGAAGTCTGCGAGTTCGATAAGCTGTGTTTCACATAAACGATTCTCTCTAAAGCCATTTTGAAGTTCGAAAGGAATATATTGTACGTGGTTACTGAAATGTGAAGATAAATTGGAAGCGACAAAGTGTTCAAGCGTTTTTCAAATGATGTAAGTAAGTGATACAGGCCGATTTGAAACAGGATTGTAATAATGTATGTGATTTCGTTCCTCAGTTCTTTGAGAACTACTGAGCGAATGAATTAAGTCTTGGCCTTAGATATCTATCTTTAGCTTGGCAAGGAGTTTCAGCACCCCGTTCTTGCTGACAGATATATCATCCTTTTGGGGTATTAACAATATTTTGGAAGATCAATGTAATATTTAGAGTTTTTGTAGGAAATTTTGTTTTAGAGACTGTGGAGAGGCATTGGAAAATACTGACTGGAACTGCGCCTGTTCAGTATATTGGCCTTTTCAACGTTGTTTGATTGAGGTCTTTAATGTTTGTTACATTTTGAGAATCTTGTTCAGAATTTTTTAGATGGTTAGACTAACTGGTGGAAAAGGAGGCGGTGTAATCATTAATATTGGATAATAAAGGATAATTTTATTTCATTTGAACACCCAAAACTATAAGCGCTGACTGTGAAAATTGTATGAGTTAAGTAAGAAATTAAAGGTTACAAACAATTTCACATTGCATCCTATTATAAACCACATGAAAACGACATAAAAAGTACATTTATATTTGGAAAAAAACAACAACACACAATTAAGAATTTACTTTAATTTTGAAGGCACAAAAATAATCCTAAGAGACTTATATATACTGACATTGAAATTGGAATCTCTAAATTTGTTCCAGTTTAGAGAATTTGATCTAAAAAATTTCTTCACTGGATACCAAAAAAAAACTAATTTAAATCAGGAACTAAAGCAAAAATTCGTTATTTGACAGGTTATATGACCGTATATACACTTGTTTACCTAGCAGGAGGTGCTTTATATGTAAAAATCCGGTTATATAGGGTCACGTATCCTGTCAAAATTGTTTACAAGATAAATACAAGGTAGTCTAACTAGACAAAACTTTTTTGATATATTAGGTTACGACGCGAACATAATTACATTACGCGAGGGGTAGTTGCCTAAGTTATATACTACAGTATAGGATACTGTATGTAAGTTTCGACCATATATTTTTATGTTTTAAATTTTTGAGTCAGTGCACAGCCATTGTATAAAGTGTACAAAACCTATTTTAAGTGTTTATTTTATAAGTGGCCCTAATAAGTGGCCGTGAAACGGTGCTATTGAGAAGTTTATTTATGTATTTACTTTGAAATTTTATTGCCATGTAATTTTAATTGAATAATTTCTTAAATAGGCTGTGCACTAGACTATTTTTACCATACAGTCTCATGGTTATTTTCAAAATTGGGAGGTGCTGGCTACAGATTACCCATAATGTCAAAAAAGACTCAATATTGTATATATCCCCTTGCCCCCCCCCCCCCCCCGCCCCGTGTTATTTATTATCTATCTTTTTTTTATTCCTGTATATATAAAACTAGTATCCTTAATACTAGTAAACGTGAACCCGTGCCCCATATGGAGCAATACGTTTATCACGGGTTCACTCAAGCATGAGATTCTCTTAAATATATATGTTACAAAAAGACTATCTCATCACATTATGGGTAACCAAGTTATTATTATTAGCCATATTTGGGACTTAGATTTTTTCTTATTCTTCTGTGAATTGTTTAAGTAATAGAAGATTAATTATTATGTGTGATATCTAGATGCATAATAATTTATAGACCATGAGACAGTGATAAATAGATAAGGCCGTTACCACCACATTTTAATTATTATATTTGTTTTAATTTAGAAATAAAGTTGGTAAAAACTCGTATACATTGGAATGCAACGGGCACCCGCAAAATTTCTATCCAGTCCGCGCGACAAACTTGTCGAAATATGTCAACAGAAAAACTTGCAGAACTTTCAAGAAAATCGGATTGACCTCCTTATTTAGAAAGAAGAAATTTTAGACCAATGAGAACAAAGGAGGCAATCATCTCTAAACCAATCAAAATTAACTTTATAAAGCGGGTGTTCGGTAGAACTTACAAAATTTAAAACAAACTCTGCTAATTACAAACATGTAATTAATTATATGCATCCCAATGTATACGGTTTATAACATTTAAATAGAAACCAACATAAGTAACAGTCAGCCCACAATGAAATGGTCAGAAAACGTTCCTGACATGCCTTCTCGCACATAAGTATGCGAACTCTACAATTATAGGTAAATTTCTAAAAAAATTTTAGTTATATTAAATATTAATTAGTCCAGTTATAGAAGACGGTAACTTATATAAACGTCTTGGCCGATTTTAAATTAAGTGCTTTTAATTAATAAATTTTAGATTCCTCAAACTTATTATGGGATTGCCCCATCTTCCTCCCATGGCAGAGGTTGTACGTAGAGACTACCCTGTCATGGGTGATATGGTATGCACATAAACACATGTACGGATATAATTAATATAATAAGTAAATAAATATCAGATCCACATTTTTTTAAATGATTATAAATGAAGTATATGCTCGCCCATATGGTCTCTTTCCGGTGGCGATGGTAAACAAACCCAAACACACACACACAAAATTGTTTACAACTGATCATATAAAGTTGACGGTCACGGATGTTATTAGTGTCACGCCCATCCTGGTGTTCGATCTGAGAGATAAGTTGCAGAGCTCTATTCATTCAACTCGATTAAAGCAGACAAAATAACTTATTCTGATAAAAAAAATACCAATCAAGCTCGCCAATATTCAATATCCGGTAAAATGACAGCTCAACTAAAAACAGTATTTTTTGTGGATTTGAAGATTTAAAATAAGCAAACTGCAATGGCAGTATCAGAAACAAATGCAGTTTTATTGTTTACATGTTTCTACCTATTCTTTGCGGTACTTTTAGTAGCACCACCGACTGAGTTTATTTCAGCCGGTCTCACAATACAGAACGTGTTCTCAAATATACTCGGAAGTGAAGATATCAACTTTATTTACTATCATATAAGACGAACGTCAATCACTTTAATATTTCACAGCTCTCTTCCACTATGTAAGTTTCTCTCTTTACAGAAAAAATCAAACAATTAAGGACCTACATACTTAATCAAATATGCATAAGGTAAAAGCTAGGGTACTGGCAAGTATCAGGCCTGAGAGCAAGTGATTACCAAACTGAAACACAGGTGTTTGTTGTATTTTTGATAGGCTATTGAAAATTTGACTTTGGATTGACTTCAGTATTCAATTAATGACAAATCAATTACTCAAATTCAGCAAGAAAAGGGTTAACAGAAATCTGCCTTAATATTTTTGCAAACAAGAATAACTAAGGTTTTCCTTGAGATGGGTCAATATATTTATATTTCACTGATCATGTAACATTGAGTTTTCTTAACAGTAATATAACTGGCCTAGGTAATTTATATGCATTGTAAGTGCTGTTTGCAATGTAACATATGCAAATAACTTTCTTTGTTCACTTCAAAATATTTTACTTTTAATAATACATTTTTTCAAATGTTCACAAATTTTGACAAAAATTAGGATGAATCTGGAAGTGCTGCTTTAAAACCTTACTGGGTGAAAATTAAATAATAAATCTTACATGATATCAAATAACTAATACATCTTACATGTTACAGGTTACTACATTGTTCTCGGACTATTTGCCCCAGAGCTGCAGCTGTTTACACCATGGCTGGCACCTGCAGTTTTCCAGCTTCTTCTTGTAACAGCTATTACCCTGACCAGTGCAGCATGTCTTCTAGTCTTTTATTGGTCCAGAAGTAATTGGGACAATCATCCTATAGCAAAAGAACTTGGTTACTTAGGTGATGAAAACAGTACATGGCGAGCAGTTGCTGCTTCTATTAATATTGAATTCAGGAGAATAGACAAATTTTCATCTGGAATTCCTACAGGACGTCGAGTGATTGTGACAGATTCTTGGGTCATCAAAACATCAACATATTTTGTTCATGTTGCTCATCAGAATGATATTCATTTAACACTGGCTGCCTCAGAAGAACATAATATATCATATGAAAACATGACTTCTGTCCAGTTTGTTCACATAGATGTTGCAAGCATAAATCCAAAAATAGCTCCTTTCAGTCTAAGGTAAATATGTTTATATGATTCTGTACTACACATTGTCATTGTTAACTTTTTTTCATAGAAAAAAAATAGAGATTATGATATTGTTACAGTAATGTCGATACATGGTGTCATGGTCTTCACTATTTGCTGTTCCATAAATAAATATTTTTAATTTTTCCATATAAGCGATGAATTGTTTTGTCCAGATTAAAAGATGGACAAGTTCATTAAGGATAAGGTAAGAGAATGAGATAAAGTGTTACTGTATTCTTTTTTTTTTCCAGATTAAATTCATTAGACTACCGGGACTTGAAGGAGAAACTACAGGCTCCAGTGAGGAATGCCAGATGCATTGTGATACGTCAGTCATTAAGTGAACAGTTTCTGCAGGCATTTGCCGAGCAGGTCTCATTAAATCCAGTTTTTATTCCACCAGATGGAATGGTAAAACTTTAACTTATCTAAGATTCATCATTGGTATCAACTGGGGCTTTTGTGGCCAATGGTTAAGGTCGTTGACTTCCAGCCATTTGCCTGTCAATGCTGTGTGTTTAAATCCCAACAGGGACTTTGGATTCTTTTATGTGAGGAAGCTATCCTTCTTGCTTACCTAACATCAGTGGTTCTACTCAGGTGCCCATTTGAACCTGAAATAATGCACTGAAGAGCATCTGTGGTCTTCCTTCATCAGTAAAGCTGGAAAGTGGCCATAAGACTATACTGTGTTGGTGTGATGTAAAATCCCCCCACCCCCACCAAAAAAAGATTGAAAGACAGATGCTTGAAGCTTATTTCAGTTATTTTTGAGTACTTTGTAGAAGAGGAATCTATGGACAGAAACTGTTTTTAATATGCATCATTTTCTATTTAGTAGATTTGAATTCAATATATTCAAGTTGGTCTTTTTACTTGTCGGTTCCTCTAGTCAGTTTCAATAATAAGCAATTTATGTCAAATTGCAATTGCACATAAAACAAATACAGATATATGCATCAGCATCATGCAGCATATTGGTTAAAACTTTGTTGAAAAAATGCAAAGTTCTGTTTAGTTTTTGCGAGTAACTTCAGTAAGAATTTCATATACTGAGAAATATATTTGCAAGTTATAGAAAAAAATTTAAATTCTAGCCCTGGTGCTTAAAAAGACTGCATAAACTTTAGGAAAAAAGTTTCTAGATTATAATCAGTGTTGCTTTTGTTGATCTTTTCAGGAAGTTGATACATGTATTGGTTGTATGCAGAAAGAGTCAGATATTAAACTACAAAAACATTGCAGCGAGCAGGATGTTGGAGAGTGTGTACAGTGCTATTGTAGGCCTATGTGGTGTTTAGAATGTATGGGTAAATGGTTTGCCAGTAGACAGGACCAACAGAGACCAGATACCTGGCTGTCTAGTAGATCGCCATGCCCCACATGTAGGGCAGTTTTCTGTATTCTAGATGTGTGTAAAATTTAACAGTTTGGAAATATTTCTGGTATAAACTTTCCTTACTGTTCAAAACAGAAAAAGGGATAGATGGCTTTTGGCCCTGTTGAAATGTGCCATGAAAATCTGTTCATCTAAAACTGTTGGCAAAGTGTTATTGCAAGATATTGTAAAATCAGAAATTTTCGCGAGGGATTAGAAATTTTGCTAATTAAAGGGACTCCACCAAGGTTTTTTGACATGATGGGACTGAAAATAACTTTTCCAGATAAATGTACCATTTGATGAAGGTTTAGACCAATAATCTATGTGCAAAATTTCAGATAATTCGCGCAATTCGTTTTTTCCAGAATAATTATTCAAATCGTAAAAATGACCCAAAATGAAAAGCGTTTAAACGCTTTTCACTCAAATCGGGCTAAGAAAAGCATAAAGATACGTTTTTCAATTTTTTTCAAACTATATTTTTAACTATCTTTGCATATATTTCTGTTTAAAGTGTCCCAGCTCATTTATGTAAGAAATTCAAATGTTATGTTTTTAGGCTTTGAAACCTCAGTGGAGTGAGTCCCTTTAAGAGAATTTGAGATTTTCGCAAAAATAAATGATCAAGGAATCATATTAACATAACTATATTGACAGTAAAAATTTGCAAATATTTAATCTTGTAAATTAGTCCTGGCTCCAAAATTTTGGTAATTCAAACATACCTGATGTTACAGCACATGTGTACTATCCCACACATTGTAGTTTGGGCATTTTTGAAACAAAATATCAGAAAAAGTTAAAATTTAACCACATGCTTGTACAGATGATTAATACATGTCCTGTTTGACGAAAAAAAACATCTAAGTAAAGTTTTTGAATTATTAATCATACTGTAATTTTAAAGTGTTGCAATGTTTATTCTTGTAAATATTGACTTAAAATTATAAACACACTTGGTAACTGGTTGCATGTTCATGGATGGGATAACTAGGGCCAAGTGAAGCATAATAACAGTTAAGCCACAGTTATCTCATGGAAAATGCAAAGTTTACTCCTTTGCATATTTAGTAACTGTAAACAAATATGAGCCGCCTCATGACAAAACCAACATAATGGGTTTGTGACCAGCATGGATCCAGACCAGCCTTTGCATCCGCGCAGTCTGATCAGGATCCATGCTGTTCACTTACCAACTCTATTACAAGTAGAGAAACTGATAGCGAACAGCATGGATCCTGATCAGACTGCGTGTATGCGCAGGCTGGTCTGGATCCATGCTGGTCGCAAACGCACTATGTTGGTTTTGTCGTGACGCGGCTCATATATTAATGTATTTTTAGTTTTGTGTGGGAGAGTAGCTTTCACATCTCGAATGATATGTACGATATGAATACAATTTATATGTGTGCAATTTATGTGAGTGTCTACATGAATTTATTTATATCATGAATCATAAACTGTATTGTTACAAGAATATAAAAAAATTTAATGTTGAAAGATTGTGTTGGATTTGATGACAAATTGACGCCTTATATTTTAAATAACGTGCTGAACTTGTAAAATAGATTTGTGGTCCTTGAATTATCAACAGTATAGAGCTTGTCAGACCACGCGGCAGGGGCGGATACAGAACAGGGTTGGATGGGGGCTGACGTGGGTGGGAGATTTTGGGAAAAAAAGGAAAATTATGCGACAGACAAAATGTGCAAGAGTTGGAAGATTGGGCCAGCAACTTGTCCAGATGACAAAAGTTGTTATTAATTGTTATTGTTATTCCTTCTATATTTATAAACTACCACCTTTTTAATTATCAAAAGATTTCTGCAAAGTCCCAAAGATAGAGATTATCGGTCGGATGGCAGCATTTTGATTAAATATTTTGATAAGGGAGTACACTATGACCAAAAATGTATGAAACTAACACGAAATTATTCCAGCTCAGCTCAAAAACCTGTCTTTGGGTCGAGCTGGGGGGCTTCAGCCTTGATGAGCCGGGGCCTGAATCCTCCACTGCCACAGAAGTACAGACTGGCTCACAGTAAAAGTTTATCACTTTCAAATCCAGCAGTTAAAGGCACATATTCTGGCAAGAAAATAAACTTGGAAAAAAAATGTATAAATGTTCACAAGTTATGACACTTTCATGAAAAATATGACTGTACAGTACTTAATATTTATGCCCCCCTTTAAAGAAGTGGGGGTATATTGCTTTGCATTTGTCTGTCTGTTGGTCTGTTGAGCCGTAGACCAAATGGTTTCCGATCAATAACTATACTGGCATGCGAGCAGTTCCCGTACAAAAATCATAGTTACTTAAACTTTATTTTTTATTATGCTCACTCACCAAAATTTGAATATTACACATCAATATTCGGCTCGTCACACAAATCATGGAAATTCCATCATGTTCTAAACATAGAATAACCCTTACTTATGAGGCCTCATATGGGGTACCGAAATTATCCATTATTTTGTATGAAGAGAAGTAGTTCCCGTACATAAAATCTAACTCATTATAATTATACAATTTTATTATATCAGACCTATTTTTCATTTACAATTGTTGAACAGACCATTATCTAAGAGATAAATAGATTTAATTCAGGAAATAGAGCGCAGACTAAACGCGGGTATCTATTACCCGGTACCGTTACCCCAACGCATTCACATGCAAAAGCATGCTTGTATGCACATCAAAGTCATAAAATTATTATATATAGTAATATTGGTCAACATTCTGATAATTAAACAAGTTTTCATCACATTGCCTACTTATTTGTTAACAGGTGGTATTAGTGGAAAACCCTTTAACAAACACGTGTAAGTATTTTTGCGCATGCGTGCAAGGACGGAATCCCCCAGAGAAAACAAGGCCACGTTTTGACGACGCACAGGTGAAAGTGATTTAAAATGAGACTTTTTATACGTACTGCCGAACTGACACTTAGATTTTGTTTCGTTTATGTATCTCCTTGATTTGAAATGAATTTTTGTAGAATGCAAGTAAAAATCAAGCATTTAAATGAAAAATACGGGTACTGCTTCTGTACGGGAACTGCTCGCATGCCAGTAGAACGCTTAGGCCTAGGAACTTCAAACTTGGTATGATGATTGTACATGACCTGTAGATGACCCCTATTGGTTTCTGGGTCAAGGGGTCAAATGTCAAGGTCACATTGACCTTGTAGGTAAAAACAGTTTCCAATCAATAACTAAAGAACGTTTAGGCCTAGGAACTTCAAACTTGGTATGATGATTGTACGTGACCCCTATTGGTTTCTGGGTCAAGGGGTCAAATGTCAAGGTCACATTGACCTTGTAGGTAAAAACAGTTTCCAATCAATAATTAAAATATGCTTAGGCATAAGAACTTCAAACTTCATATAATGATTGTATATGACCCAGATTGATTTTGGGGTCAAGGGATCGAAGGTCAAGGTCACATTGACTTTGTATGCAAAAACAGTTTTTGATCAATAACTAAGACACTTAGGCATAGGAACTTCAAACTTGGTATGATTGATTGTACATGACAAGTGGATGACCCCTATTGATTTTGGGGTCAAAGGTCAAGGTCACATTGACCTTGTAGGTAAAAACGGTTTCCGATCAATAACTAAAGAACACTTAGGCCTAGGAACTTCAAATTTGATATGATGATTGTTAATGACCAGTAGATGACCACTATTGATCTTTGGGTCAAAGGTCAAGGTACAAGACCACATAACTAATGGCTGCTGATAGGGAGAATACATGTTTTTTAGTTTTACTAATGTTCTAAACTGCTACTTATGTGATAAGGCTTATTTATTGCACATGTTGACACATTGTACATAAATTTTTGCAGTTAGTTTATACTTTTTTGCTACATGAAATCACTTCATTTGCTCTCTGGACATTTCAACAAGTCTACTATTTTAACGAAATTAACTTAAGTTTTCATAAAATCTTGCATTATCCTGGAGGAGTGCTGCTTATGAAAGGAAACTTGATGTTGAGAGTGCAAGTGTGACTGGTAGAACACTAACTCGTTTTAATATTTTCATCTGACCTTTGACCTGTTTGACTTTGGCCACTGGAACCCAGCTTACATGTGACATCAAAGCTCTCATCTGTTTCTAGTTTTAAATCCCTTAATGCAAGCAGAACTAAGTTTTCTCTGACAGTGTGAGGTTTGGTTCACTCACTTGAGACATAAAGTTGTAGTTAATACTTCCGTACGAGTCATATTTTAAAAGTAATGCTTCATCCACAATGCATATAGAAGATAGCGCCAGAAAACTTGGATGCTGCATCCCTATTGTACATTCCATTTTTCAAAAGGTCGTATAAATAACATGCCTTTAGGGGTTGGTTGCGTTTGAAGGCCATATTTTTACCTTCCAGTTTTAATTGTGGAGGAAGACAATGGGTGCTACTACATGCATTATTTTCAAGCATGAGCTTGCATTAGAGAAGAACCTCCGATCTTCCACTCTCTGGATAGCTTTCTGAGCATGAATGAACCCAAAGTTCTTAGTGGGGTTTAAACCCACAGAAACGAGGCTCATATAACTCTTATATCTATATAATTATGAGCCGCGTCATGACAAAACAAACATAGTGCGTTTGCAACCAGCATGGATCAGACCAGCCTGCGCATCCGCGCAGTCTAATCAGGATCCATGCTGTTCCCTATCAGTTTCTCTACTTGTAATAGTGTTTGTAAGCGAATAGCATGGTTACTGATCAGACTGCGCGGATGCTCAGGCTGGTCTGGATGCATGCTGGTCGCAAACACTTTATGTTGGTTTTGTCGTGGCGCTGCTCAATTATGATGAAGGGCACAATAAAAACAGAACTCGTCACAAAGTTTTTCTCTTCAGGTTTATTGCCATCTTATCAATAGAAAATTCACACAAGACTAGCTTACTGATGGTAATCACAACAAAGTCTTTCTATTTATCAATAATTTCACTGCCTGTTGGAAACATGCTGTAAAACGTGTGTTAAATATCAAGTAGGATTTTCAAATTTGTGTGGACAAGAACATGTATCACTATATGAAAATTTGTTGGTTTGCATTTCCATAAAATACGATTTCATTTTAAGTATTTAAAACAAAAAGTTATATACTTAAACCACAAACACAATGTTATAAAAATCTATGATGTAAACATTTATAACTGTGTAAAAATCATACATGTCTATTGAAAGATGGCAAAAAGTGGCCAATTATGTTAACACATGGCCAAAATGAGTTTGCAAACAGCAACACCTAGGCATGATAGTTGTAATCGTAATAATCATGGGTTCGTAAAATAAAATAGATGGTTAAATATCAAAACATAAATACTGATAACCCACTATTGGTTCAACAATTTTTTTTGCGGTGAAGAGATTTTTTTTTTAATTTTGTGTTAAAACTTTCAACATATAAAAGTTTCAACATCTAAATGGAACAACTATGAGATGTGGGGGCACATCTAATGTCAGTTGTAAATGGAGATTTCTACAAGTTTTCAACACCATGCTAGATGTGCTTCCTAAATGGCACCAATCCTGCACTACAAGTACAGGTCTTTTTTTTCTCCAGATCTAGAAAACTAATCATAAAGAACAAAAGACAGGGAATTACGCCTAGTTAACCTTTAACGAAAGATGTTCCTGACTGAAATTTACCATGACTTTTCTGAGCAACTGTCAAAAATTGCTTCAACATGGTAAAAGGTGTAAAACTTCTAAGATTTGTGTGTCTTTTTTTTTTCCATCAAAACATTTCAATAAAATCTTGCTCCATTATCATTTACACCCCCTGGTTTTCTAGGCAGAAATTCCCTTTTTAATTTCAATCCCCTCACTGCATGACGACATTTTGGTGCTGTCATAAAATTTCATTTCCGTAGGCACTACAGAAAATGAAATACAATAACACCAAGTCTGTCACGTTTCAATTCTGTTTACACAAATTAATTTCGTGGTTATTTTTTGTGGAGAATGACACATTTACTTTTAGGAACTAATCAAAACTTGAGACCAAATTACCACTACTCACGGTAATGTGATGCCAATACTTCTTTCTTACTAATACAAGTGTATACGTATACTTTTTTTCATACAATTATAATGAAATAAATGTATCATTCTCCAACCTTATGTAATTTTTTTTACACAACAACATAAAAACTTGGACAGAGAGTATCCAGTCCCATTCACATCGCCAATGCCCAGTCGCAGTACCAACAATTCAAATCATGTTCACCTACCAATATCATTAAAAATTTTACAGATGAAATAGATTCCTTTTTTATGATGACCCATTAATGTTAACGAAAAACATTTGGCCAGACAAAACCATTCATTTCAATTAAAAGTAAACTACCATATAGACGTAACTTAACTTTTAAGTTAGTTGACAAAAATCTATTTGGATATTGTCTTTAAATTCACTATTCTTTTTATTCTTATATCTTTAAAACTTGCAATGTATTGTTAAAACAAGTTTTTGTTGTTCTATCAAATTTGTAAATAACAAATTAAAGTCATCACAATCAAAAATCTATTTGTGCTATAAATTGCACTTCTGTACAGCAACCAAAATGGCGTAAGGAAAGGGCATTGACTGAAATGTGTAAAGGATAGTCAATATCTAATTTATAACATATATACATGTTTGATAAATCATTTATAACATGGATGTATGGACAAATATCAATAATCAAACAGTATCGTACAGGCTTATTTCTCCCTTCACACTTAAATCTTTTCATCTTTTCTTTTTCTGGTCACCTGTTTATGATTAATACACACTAAAAATAAGATATGAGTTTCTTAAGAAAGAAAAATAATTAAACAAACCGAACAAAATCAATATTATTTTTAAAAATTTTGAATAATTTCTGATACATAAATCACAATCATTACGATCATAAAAATTAATAAACATTTTGATATAGAAGAAAACTTTATATCATATCAGGTATATATATATTAATATACGTACCTGATCATATTAAACTTAATTTTTATATTATGGTTAATAAACCAAGCTACAGAGCTTCTCTTAAAATCTTATATATATTTTTTTGTAAAAAGAAAAAAAAAAGAAAAGAAAAAATTGGCCAATACAAAAAATGAATTCTCCCTAATGTATCATAAACTTATGTTCAATTAAGTTGTCATTAACCCTTACCCCACTAATTAATGGACTTGTCCATCTTTCAATCCAGATTAAACCAGTTATCATTTTTTTGTGGCAAATCATAAAAAAAGAAGTGACTGAATAACAAACTGTGCAGACCTTGATGTTGGTTTGCACTGGTCACATACATAGATTTAATCCAAGCCAGAAGGGTAATGGCTAATATACTATTACACCTTCATTACTTCAGATTAAGCACTTTGAAAATGTTGACAAATATGTAACTTTACTTTAAGATTAATATGTTTTGTTTTTTCATAAAGGAAACAGATAATATATTATATATACTCTGACTCACTTTAAACAATGTAAAAACCAAACAATCAGTTGTTAGCTATCCCAAAAAATAATATTAAATATAATTTCCTCCCATTTATGTCTTAGTCGTGCTAATCTTGAAAAATGAAGGTTTAAAAAAAAAATTAAAAATTAAACATTTCAAATATCCAATGCTAGCATTTTCCAAGCATTTGGTTATCAACAGTGTGACCTACATTTGGTAACATATATATGTAGGTCTACACTTTCACACTGACTGTTAACGTAGCCAACCGATAATCTCAATACATATTTACATACTGTGTACATTTATCATTTATATAAAGTAAAATAATACATACTTTTAATTTACATCATTAGATGAAGCATATTTTAACGCTTTGCAAAATTAAATCAAGAAAAAATACAAAACTGTTAAACCGGTAAGCCATCTAGGATTCAGCGTTAAATGTGATACATTAGCATTAATACTTGTTCTTTACGTCTTGCTGAACTTAAAAATCTTCATAAGGACCTAGAGTGAAAAATTTTCTATTTCTAAACCAGAAATAAAATTTTCGTAAATAAAAATATAACACATATACAGGATCTTACATTAGCAGCTATTGGATATTTATCAATCAAATCTGGGAAAAAGTGTTATAAAACAAGCCTATAGCCAGCTTTATTTTGGCAAACTGGAATCTTAATTGGCCTAATTGTTAACATCAAAGTCAAACAAACTTAATTATCTTTTTGCCTTTCTTAAACCTTATCAAATTATTCATAAACAAATGGTTCATCTAATTGCGAATCATAAAATAACTTGAAAAAGAAAAGGGTATTATACTAGTTACTGAAATGAATTCTTTTCATTTACGGCAATGGGTAGAATAAGGGGAACAAACTCTTAACAACATTTATTCCTGTCTCAAATAAAAACTAAAACAGCGTTATTTAAATACCTCTCGTACAGTCAACTACTAAGATAATGGTTATAATGGGACTGCCGAGGAAACTCGAGCAGATACGATGACATATGATATTTGTCTGCATAGATTTAATCAACACTCCACCCTTCCAGCCATACATTATATATATTTTATATATATTCCAAGCTAAAATTGGCTACATATATCTAAATCAATATAACACTAGTATTTTTCCCTCAGAAAATTATTAGTAATAAAATCCCCCATTCAGAAAAAAGAAAGAAAAATCCTAGCTTCTGATTTCTTATATAAATATTTTTTTCCTCCATGTTTTTTCTTTTTCTCTTCTTTTTATCAAAGTAACATTAAGAAAACGATGAAGAACGACTAGATAAAACAACAAATGAAATCATACCAAAGCCTAATCAAAACATGTCTATACTATAACAATGACAAACGTTTCTGATAAAATCTGATAAAACAATTTGTTTTTCGACAAAATATACATGTAAACATCACAGATAAAAGTTAAGATTTTCATCTAAAACTACAGTAGCTCCTTTGCAAAACCATGTTTGGCTTGCATTCATTTCCCACCAGAAAAAAAAGCAATGAAATACACAAACAACAGTTAAATGTTCAGAATATCGTAAAAAACAATCTCTCCAAGCAAACACAGAACTTGCAAAGTTAGAAATGACAAGCACACCACAAAAATGCATAACAAATAAATCAATAATGGCACAAAAAGTTCAAATTTTGCAATTCTATATCCTATATAAATATCAGAAAATGTTATTACGGCAAAGAAAAATACAATAAGCTTAAATTAAGTTTTGTAGCTACAGCCATCAGATAATCTCCTGGTACCAAAATGGAAATCCCTTACAAAGTCAATTCTTTTCATGGAACTGTAAGTAAATCCTTGAATGAAATCTACAAGGAAATCCCAGGCAATGAACTTAACAGGAAATCCCTTGCATGGAACCGGACAGGAAATCCTTGTATGTTACCAGACAGGAAATCCTTTGCTGGAACTTTATAGGACTTCCCTGGGTGAAACAGGACAGCAAATCCCTGGCAAGTAATCAAGACAGGAAATCTCTAGCATTGAACAAGTCAGGAAATCCCTGGCATGGTATTAGATATACAGATAAAATTACGTCACTGCTGTAAGGTGTTGTCTCTATTGACTACATGGTGCAAGTGAAAAATGCAAACCAGGACTGGGTTTGCAAAAGATCTACTAACTAATCACAGTTATCAAGGTAAAGTAATACAAAACACCAAATATACCAACTACATATACAGAACAATCTTTTCACGGGTTCACAAACAAGAAATATATATATATATATATGCATCTAGAGACACCAGTACCAAGTATTTTCAATTTATTCTTACATAAGCACATTTTCTATACCATATTCAAAAACTTTAAAAGTTTGCTTTCTGGTTGTGAACAGGCTTTTTTTGTGTATATTCTAAGCTTTGGTTTGGTGTTAACTGCTATAAAATACTATTCAAAACCTGACCCAAGTGTGTTCATTTTAGGTATCCCTGTCTCTTCACCTTGATTGTCCATCTCAAATTATTTCTTTTACTTCTAACAAACTTCATGAAATCTTTATCAATAAATATGAAAATACTTGTCAATGATATTCTCCATATATACATGTACTTAATAAAAATGGAAAGTGAGGTAAAAAGAGATATTTTTCTTGAAGCAGTCGGTCTCCAGATTCATGCAATTTTTTATGAAGGTTTCTAAAGTTGTTCCATTAAATAAACAATCTGTCATATGTACAATTGAAATGATTTAATATCTAGTTTCAGGTTAACTTAATAAGAGTCCAGGAAAAAAAAACACACAAACACTTTAATCAGTTAGTAATATAGGAAGTAATATGCCGATAAAAATAGTAAAGTTTACATAAACAATTCAAACTGTCACATGGACTTTGATTACAAATACTTTTCTTCAAGGTAAAAAGTCAGCATCACTTTCTTTTTCGTCGAATTTTTTTTTTCTGAAAACTGAAATTAACAGATTAATTTGTGGAATTTTCTATGAAAATCTGGAGGCATACCACTTTAAAAAAAATAATACAACACAACTTATATCCAAACAAACATAAAGAAATTCAGTAAAACCCCATTTTCTTTTTTGCCTATTTTCTGAAGAGATTGGCTACTGATAAGCCAATTTTTAGCCTATTTCCTGGAAAGATGTCCATTTATAAGTACTACTATAATAAATATCATAGCAAAATTACAACAAGGTTCCATTAATGATCTCTTAACAAAGTCAGCTTTAACAAAGCACTTTTTTTTTCTTATGGTTTAGCTCAAAGCTAACCAAAGAGATTTGAACCTCTCTTAAAAAAATTTCAACAACAACAACAAAACTCAGCTCACAAACAAAATACACAAACACTCGATGTCAACTACCCTTAACTGTTCAAAACAACTTTTGACACGATTAACGTTTATGAGTTTCAACTCCCGAGTTATCAACCAATCCTTCACGAAGGTCAAGAAGACATAACAATATAAGTGACTATCATTAATACACTCTATACCTGCACATCACTAACTACATAATGTAGCATTTGTTCATAATAAAACTCACAGCAAAAATGATTATGTGTAACCGCAACTTAGTCATACAAATCTCTCTTGAAGTTCTATCACTTCCCCTGCCAACACACATGCATTTTCCTTTAAATAAAAAAGGTCAACTTCGAGCATATTTGTTTTACAAAAATATGCCATTTTTTTTACCTCCTCTGTGTGACAATCTTTTAAACAAACATATATTTCTATAAACACATCATTAAAGACTGTGTATATCAACAACAATGGTATTAACAATATTTATAATAAATAAATCTACAACTACAACATGATAAAATGATTATGAAATATGTTCAAACTTCAGAGCTTAGCAAACTATTTTTAAATTCTTCGTCAAGTTTGATTCTTTGCTTTCAGTTGTATTTTTATTTATAACTCGTTTTTTGTTATTTGTTTGTTTAAAGAAATCTAATGAAAGATAGTTTTTGATGTTTATATATATGATAATATGGATACATTATTCTAAAAGTACCAAAAATATGAAAAAAAAATAAAAAAATTCACAGCTCTGAGGTAACACGTCTATATATAATGGATAATGAAATTTGTGGAATGAAAACAGAAATTTCAGTTCAAACAATATACAATGAATGTTAAATTAATACAAAATGGTTAATTTTTTTTTGTTGTTAGAAAAAAATACAAATGACTCAAATTTGAATGGTTTTGTATAAATGCATACATTTTTTTCTAACTTTCTATAGGTTTAAGCATAAAAAGGTAGTATTTGTAAGTTCTAAGTTTCACTACAGAGATCTCAACTTGACATTTTTAACAATTTTTCGTGTGCTTTTTCTCTATCAAAAACAAAGGTTTACAAAAAATAATACATTGAGAATACAGAAAAAAGCAACAATTGATAAAATCCTTAACCTGCTGGGCCCTGATAGTGATCAGCCCTGTCCTCAGTATAGTCTAGAGCTAGGCCAGACTGAGCACCCCATGCTTTCTGTCCAGACTCTAGGATGTTGAAAGTTTGATTTTTGTAATTTTTACGCAAAAATCCCTATAACATTGAGACTGACTTAAGTTCAAAGCTGGGACGACTACATCATGTAAATTCAGCAGGTTATGAAGTTTAACTTATAGTTATATATAAATGTAGCATTGTATTACTTTAATCTCTCTTTATCAATCTTAAATCAAAGAAAACTTAAAATGTTTATTTCTTCTTTTTTTTCAAATACTGTTAACTGTCCCTTTAGTGCAGAACCGGGTCAAATCCTTTTAAATTTAATAGGAGTTAACCAGTTATTGCACTAAGGTGACGATAATGTAACTTTTGCAGTAGACTTTACCTATCAATTTCTACATCCTAATCTGACTGTACACAGACTGCAAGCAGCAACTCAACATAAACACATATCATCATGAAACAAAATCACATAAAGCAATACAACAATACCTTTACAACAAACATGGTTATAATAAATGATGACAGTAAAAATCTCTGTAAACTCTCTTATATGCTGCTACAACACTTCTCAATAATGTTTACTTCACAACGGTTTTCCTTGTTACTGTGGCGACGTGCTGCGCTCCCTTTACGGCTCTTCTCTCGCCTACCACCGGACAATATATTCTGAACTTTCGAACATTTGCTCTTTTTTGGGGCACTATTATTATTGTTTCCATTCTGTCAAATTAGAAGAAAAAAATTCTACTGAAAATCATGCTATTTTTTTTCCCCCAGAGAACATTTTCTCCCCCCAGAGAACAATGTCATATATTTTCATATACAAAATAAATAGCATAATCTATATTTTAAGATTACTGTTTTGGACCTAAAGGACAAATAAAGCACCATTTTTTTTATATAATTCTTAAAACTTATATTTGAATTCCACGCTTTTAATGCAAAACTATCAAAAGGATATAAATATCCAGAAAAAAATAGTATTATTTTGAATTTGCTTCAGAAACAATGAGGCCAGTCTCTTGGATAAGAAATGGTTGCAATCAAAATCATGACACACATTTTTTAAAAGAAGATCAGTGTTAATTTGTTGCAAATGCCACTATCTGTTTATATTTACATCATGCTGGACTAATAGCTCTGAAAATATTTTACCATCCCTGAAAATTCACACTGATGGATAATCAGTAGTCATTTCTATTTTTTATGGGACTTCAACCTTTCATTAAAACTTCAGTAATTCTACTGTCAAAAGAATATACTATCAAAAGATTACCTTCACAGAAAGGGAAAGTTCTGGAAATTCTTCATTGTTCAGATCAAACTTTTCTTTGTCCACTTCAACAGGGCTATCATTTTCTTTAGTTGGACTTCCCAATCTGCAAACATGAGATTATCATACATTTTTAAACATCAAAATTCCACCTAATGTTTGGTTAAAGTAAAACTTAAAATAAAGATAAATATTTTTCAATGGAATATCATCACTCCCTAAAATGTAATTTGTAATATTTTCACTGGAGGGAGAAGTCACTTCAGCTAGCATGATTTTTGTATTTTACCAGTGTAATTCAGCATGATCCTTCTGAACATCATTTTAAGGCAGTCAATGGAATGAAAATTCAGTTGTCTAAATCATTACAATCATCTTATTTGCTTATTAAGATATCCAAATTTGCAAAGCAAAGATAAAATAGTAACACATCTTTTATGTATTTTTAAAAATACATATACAAGCCATATCAATGAAAACATACCGATTAAAATACTTTCTGAACCAAAGAAATATTTACCTAGGGTATCCATGTAGGAATGGACAGAGAGGTCCTTTGAAACAACCGCCTTCTTCCCAGAATCGGCAAGTAATGTTCGATATATCATGGGCAAACTTACAATCAGATCGCCTACAGTTTCCTTCTAGATAGAAGCTACAAGGTTTACGCTGTGCACCTAAAATGAAAATCATATTCTTATTGCATTTAAATTGTCAATATTTTGTTCCTTTTGATAACTCAACAATGGCATAAAACAAGCTTTTCTCAACTTTATAAACAATACTCACTTCAACAAAATAAATGAAAATGTTAATTTCAGCAAAATGAAAGAAAAATGTTTGTTATGTTTGTTATTTCATTAAAGTAAAGGACAAGTTATTTGAACAACATAAAAGGATCATGTTTCTTATCAAAACAAAAAAAGTAAAATTTTTAATGTTCGACATCTTAACAAAACAAGAAAATGTTCAATTTCTAAAAAAAAAAATACAAAACGTGCATACTTGATGGTTTTCTACCGGCCCACATGGCACGTATGCTAGGATCCATCCACTGTTTCTCGAGTTCAGTTGACATGACTCCTTCATCTGGCATTGGCATTAACTCATATGTTCCGTAAGACTGTAAATGTAAAATACCAATTATGAGTATGTATGTAAAATACCAATTACAAGGGCCAAGCAATACAGTAAAGCATTGAGCTTCCCTACTGGCCTTTATTAGTATACCTTTATATAAGTAATACCTTATATTATAATATTTTTTGCATTTTATTAAGCTTCTTAGAAATCAACTGCATAAGCATTTTGTCAATAGAATTTAACTATTTTGCTGCATTTTTATCAGGTATTAAATCACATCTCTGTAAGCTACAGGTTATCTGCCCTTTACAGTTATTTTAATATCAAATGAAAATTCAGAAGGTCACGAAAAGATCTGTTTTGTGAAATTTCTTCATTTCTAAATGAAAATAAAATTTCCAGTTTCCTAAATACATTTTTTGAAACAGTTGTATTCAATAAAGATCACCAATATTTGATATATCTATTTCTCCATGTAATTTATCTAGAAAAATCACAAATTCCCTTAATTTTATCATGTACAATGTAAATTGGTTTGACTTTGTAAATACCTGATTTTGCTGCTGTTCCCCCTCATTAGCCTGCTTGTCTTTATACACCAGTTTCACACTAAAATATTCACCAGTGTCTGTCTCTGGTGTAAGTGCCATTTCAGAAGGTACAGGGACTTCATCCGTCTCTGGAAACCCTGCATAGATCGGGAACACACCTTCTGTCTCGGGCAATGTCTCGATCATTTGGTCTCCTGGTTCTAGCATTGGCTGGTAGTCATATAAGTCATTTCCATTGTATGCCTCCATGATCAGGTTACCATAATAATTGTCACCCTCATCATCATCATATTCTTCATTTAACACATCCGAACCGTCAACATGCGACAAGTTTTCTGGAGCAACTGCATCAACCGAATAATAGTCATGCCCCGCTGAACTCCAAATGTTTTTATATTTTTCCATCTCACTTTCTTTGTACAAGTGATCTAGACCTAGGTCATCTCCCCATATTCCATGTGACTTGTAGCTACTTTCTATGTTTTCATCATCTTTAACAACATTTGGGTATTCCGGCTGCGGCCAACTTTCGTACGGGTAATCAACTTCTGTCTCTGTCCAGCGTGACTCAGCATGTTGAACACTGACATCCGGCCAGTCATTAGTGTGGGGGAAAGTAGCAACAAAACTTTGCACAGAAAATTTAATCACGTCTCCCAAATTCCCGTGGTCTAAATTCGATGATCCGTACATGCTGACATTCCCTTCTATATCTTTGTTGCAGCAATTGGTAGAATGGTGATCATGATCAAAATCTGTACCAATATTCCCCCCGTAATCCGTCTCATAGGCTGAATCTGTATTTGCAGTGTCAAGATCCTCCGAGATGCTCATTAGAGTATCAATTTTTTCCTCTATAACATCTTCAATCATGCTTAAAGTTAATGTTTCTGGAGTATCTCTCTCTAACATTTCGTTAGATTCCATGGGACTATCAAGTTTCTCAAAGCTCTCACCCGTCTGTACACACTTGCTGTAGTTTTTAACTTTGAAACGTGGAATGAAACTTTCCTCATCGCTTTCCCTGTCCTTGTCAAGTACTTGGTACTCTTGATACGGAGTTTTTGTAGAAGGTAACCCACCAAAAAGATCATGGCAAACCTGTTGTTTTGATTTAGAAGTGAACAGTTCGGGAACATAGGCTGGGGTGATAGGTCTGAAGTGTGTCTTTGGAGAGAAATACAGGTGCTCCTGTGGAGACTGAACCCCACTTTGATTACCATCGACAAAGTCTTGGCGAAACTGAACAAGGTTTGGCTCACTGTGAACATGGAGAAGCTTTCTTGGAACGTCATTAAAGGCTGAATATTCAGAGGGAACCAGTTCAAAGCTCTTGGATAACTTTGGATCAACGGTTCTCGGCTGATCATCGGCCCACAAAGACGGAACATCTCCCATTGAAACACTTCTATCAAAATAAGGAAAGCTTCTGTCTTCGTCACCATCATCTTCATTTAGGAAAGACGAGCCATCTGTGTCTGTTTCAGATACAATGTCAATTGATATACGTGGTATTAGGGTATTTTCACCGTGCTCAAATCCACCTATGTCAATATCAAAATCTGGAACATTATGTAAAAATACCAAAGTGTTTTCTGCAAACCATACCTGACTATCAGAATGAAAGATTTGTCCACCCCAAGATGACATCTTGGATCTTTTTTGCATGTTAACATCCCAAAGTTGAGAGAATGGACTGCTTCCAATAGGTTGCCAACATTGTACGTCGTTTAGTTCATACACAGGAGGGACAAGGTCAGTCATACTGCAGGGCATGTATAGAGAGCAGTCAAACAACACTTGACTTTGCCACAATGCTGTAATGCAAGCTCGTCTTGGGCTATGGAACTGCAAGCTTTCCTCTGGACTGTAAGACTGCCAATTAGGTTCTCCATTAAGAAATTTGGACATGTAATCCCAGTCAACTAACGACACAGACCCCGGTCTCCCTGGAGGATAAATCCCTCCACCATCTGGTGTAGGTGTACAATTATCATCAAAACAATTGCCATTATCATTAAGTAAACCAAACTTCACATAATCGTCTTCTTCAGAAGCATGTTTCCAAACATTGTCTGCATTCTTAAAGTTAAAACCATCATCCGACATGCTCAAATCTGCTAGTTTTGACAATCCAAGGCCAGAATCACATTCTGCAAAAGGGCTGGAAGACTTCAAAGAGTGCGCAAGATCTATATCCTCTATGTTAGTATCACAGTTATCATCTGTTGATATCACTTCAGTCAACCATGCAGGAATGAGAAGAGAGCCTTCCCAAATGTCGTCACTCTTATCAGAGGCAAAACTTTGGCTTCTTTTGCGAGCACAGACAATCGGGCTTGAAGTGGAGTTGTTGAAACATTCAAACGTGGTATCAGACGTACTTTCAGCATCGGCATCTGGTGAAGAAGCTGGATCGCTCAGTCTTTTGTAGAGACGTAATTTTGATGAGCTTGAGACCTCATCATCTTGGCCATGAAATATGACATCAATTGGTTGAGTATACCATATTTCTTGTTCCTGAAGCTCGGGACTCACACTTTCATCTCTTGGACTTGCAGACAATGTTTCTACTCCATCAAACCCTTCAGCTTTGATTTTTATGCTTTCCATGTCTGTTTCTTCAACTTCTGCTTGGTTCTCAACTGGAGTGAAAGAAATAGTTTGCTTGGAACTTGCTTTCTCTATTTTGTCTCTCATCTCAGTGGGACTGAAATCAACATCTACAAGATCTTTGTATGTTTTCTCTGGAGCTGGCAGGAGCATACCCTTTAAGATTGATTCGACCTTTGTACAAAGTTCATCCTTTGCTCGGACAGGTTTCTCAGTTTCTGACGGAAATACATCATCCACAAGATCAAGACTCTGTAGTATTAATGGATCCAATTTCGCAAATCCTGGGGGCCAAGCTGGAAGGTCTTGTTTTTCAACATGAATCTTTTTCCCTCTACTGTAATTGCCCCCAGCTGATTTTTCCCTTCTTCTACCAGGATCATGGCGGTCTTTTTTACTGCGACTGTTATTTTTTCGAGGTTTCCTGTGTTTTGGGACTGCAACTGGGCAAGGTATGTTTATTTTGCGAATTTCGGCATCTTCATTAGCACTTGAAGTGTCTTCCTCAGATGTTTGAATTCTCACTAGTGGATTGTTCCTCCAGATTGTTTCAGACGGTGACAAATTGCAAGTGGCATCCTGCCCATGAAGGGCCGGGAAAGCTGCATAATACCTGCAAAAATATTAATAAAATTTTGAATTCAATTTTTCAGCACAGCTTATATTTCCATAACTGATCTTTAAATATCATACTTTACTACAAGCAGCATGCCCACTCAATTTTAAATGTAGGGGTACATGTACCCCCTGTCATTGAAAATTGGGGGTACATTTCAAAATCTAGGGGTACACATAAGTTTAAACATGTTTTTGTTTGTAAGAACATTTTAGTCAACATGATATTAATGAACAGCTGTTTCACTTAGTATTACTACCCAGTAACACAGACACAAACTCATATGATCACTTAAGGTAACAATATAACAGCCATTACAGTCACTGGTATTTTGTTTAGTCCATACGATTATAACCCATAACCAAAATTTTGTATATCCGAAATTATGTACATTTATTTCAAAATCTCAATTATTTATATTGTCATTTCATATGCTCACAATTGAAGGAAGTTGTTAAAAAATCAAGTGACTAACTTTTTGCTGATAACTGGAGAACTCAAAATACTTTTAGGCAGTTGTAAATATCCAAAACTGTTTCGTTCTTTTTTTCTTAAGACAGTACTTGTGACGTCAAAACATGACTAAAATATTTACCTATCAGACTGAGATGATTTTGAAAGCAGACATGCAATTGTGGCCAGGTTTAGACTGTTCCTAACCATTGGTAGATGGCAACGACATTTAGTTAGGCTACCCAAATCATTCATTCTGACGATTATACTTTGCGTGCATGTACCCCCTGCTTACAATTTTTATGCGGTCATCTAGAATTTTGTGCGTGAATTACGCATTGTAGTGCGTGAATGGGCATGCTGTACAAGTAAGGTTAGTTAGTTACTAACATAAAAATTTTGCAAACTCCTGTTATATTACAATGAAACATTGATTTTGCTTACTTCAATTCTGGTTCAGATCGATATTTTAAAAGGTTGATTAATATAATACTGAAATTTTAATAACCTAATTTTCTGAACATATCAATTTCAAAATTGTTAAACAAATTTATAAATACAAATTTTTATAACATTTAAATTTTTGAATGTTCAAGTTTACATATTATTTTGTCAGTCAGCATTACCTTGAACACAAGGGCGACAAAATCAATTGTAAATATTGCACAGGTTGACCAACAGGCTGTATGGACAAGTGGAAATTTTCAAGAATTTACTGTATAGATATCATACAGACAAGTTAAGGAATGCTTCAGATAAAAATGTAAAAGTAAGTCGAAATAAGATTTTGCCAGCCCTGGAACAGAAACCTAATTTATACGCAGACTTACTTCTGGGCAGGGTTTTGTTTCTCTTCACCACTAACATCACTACCATCACTACTACAGGATCTTGATTTTGAGTCTGGACTTACTGAAGCTAAAATATATCAAACAAAATAAATAATGATAAAAAAATTTTGTATCAAAAGTGTTTTTAGAAAGTCAGTTAGTCATTACAAGGCATCTGAAGATTTCTTAAATTAAATAACTAAGAAAACAATTTAACGTATGTGCCAAATATTTCTCGTTTCTATTTTTTTCCATCAATTTTGAGGAACAAGTTAAAACAGCGATTTCTTTCACAGAAAGGGGAAGGGGTCCTTCCCATATATCTGTATAAAATAACACAGAATTATTTTAAAGGAATAAAAAAAAAAACATGATGTGAATTGAATTTAAAGGGAAAACTGCGTGATTTTTAAGAATTTTTCTTTGAGGCAAGCCACCATTTAACATCCCTTTCTGTGGAAGAAAAATTATGATTTGGACCTCTGACTGCATTCTACAAAGGTAAGTCATAAGATTTTATATTTCAAAAGCCAAAACAATAAATTTCAACAAATTTACAGACCAAAATTTGCCTGCGCTTTTAAAACTTTTCAATTATGTGATTTAAGCAACGTAAGTATTTCTCCTCATAAATTAGCAAATTGATTTAAATTGTTGAATATACCTTTTATTTCACTGTCTTTGAGGCGAGAGCAGAGTTCATCTACCAATGTCTCTATGCCTGCTTTCTGAAAAAGTAGATTAACAACCCTAACTACAAATTTATTTATTCATAAATGCTATATTATAATAACACACATTAGAATTGCTAAGATCCTATCCAATTTTACATTGTCTTTATCTCAATTAAGCCAAAACTATGTACCAAAACCTCCCTTAACTTACTTGAAACACTGTTAGATGTCGCATCTTTCTTTACTTTAACTAAATATTTTCTTCATGTAAAATATCAAACCAGGTTTTGTATTTTGTTGTTTTTTTTCACATGTGTCCCATTGCTTAGACAAGTGATTATAAATCATTGATGACCAAATGACTGACTATATATAATAAATAAATCAGTGATTATAGCCTAATTAAAGTAACACAGTAATTATCACATGATTTTCTCAACAAATCACCTCACTGTTATGACTATATAAGACACTGCATTAATTATAATTACAGTCACTCAAATTATCAATTGGCAGGAAGTTGAATACTGACAGATAATTATTTAACAGTAAGGCAGGAACTCTTGATTACAATATGGTAATTCTTGTACAAATTATGGCCATTGGGTCCTTCCTGTACAAATTATGGCCACAGGGTCCCCTTTTGTACAAATTGTGAAAGGAACAAAATAGAATTATGATCATCAATTACTTATTGAAGAAAAACAATTACTGAACTTAGAAGCAGGAACTATGCATATCCCCAGGACCTCTTTTTGTAAAAAAAACCATCATAATAAAAAAAACTACATTGCAATATGTTCAATTAATTTCCTATATATCATAATAAAAAGTTATCATCAAAATATTTTCAATATGATATCTTAAGTATTTTAACAATATTTCATATAAAAAACAAACAAAGCTATTATAATTAGGTATTATTAATCTTAGAACAATGTAGAAATAAAAATTATATCAAAATATATTATTAATGAAAGCAGAAAGTATGAGCAACTCATACTTATTGATTTAGACAAAAACAAGTTTGGACAAGCAGAATTTATGATATTGATAAGAATTCTTAAAGCATGTACAACAATATATACTACTGTAAGAATATATATTCATCAAAATGTTGTTTTAATATATAATAATTCTTTAACACTTAAGTACCATCATTACACATGTTTTTTACCTCTTCAGTTATATCTGAAAGACATTGGATAGCGGCAAACTTCTTTCTCTCCTCGTCACTTGCAGACAAATGTTTTTGCTTTTCTGATTTCCGACCTTTTCTCTTAGATTTAGGAAAAGCATCTAAATCAGTGTCAAGACCTTCTAAATCTTCAGGATCCTGTAAAAAACAAATGAAAAATTAATGAGTCTCAAACAAACATTAATCCATCACTACATGTATTATAGTATACTATAAAGTGATTCAATGAGGCTTATTGGTATATGGGGATTTCCTTTAAAATTCATATGGAAATTGAATCAAACCAATTTTGTGACTGAGACAAACATCCCACTTGTATTATAATCATATTGTTACAAGATACAGAGAATTAACAAAGGCAGATGTCAGCATCTGACCCAAAGTGTCTTTGCCGTTTCACCTCTGTCTTCAAACTTCTCCTTGATGTGAGCTGAGGGATAAGTCACTTCTTCTTAAGATTTTAGTCTATTTGAAGCTCTGTTTAAGTTCTTCCTAAGATTTTAGTCTATCTCAAGCTTCGTTAAAGTTGGAATTTCAGTTTGTGACCTTTAGCATGTGAGGAGGATGCTCTAATTACTCAGGAAGTGCTAGCATAAATTTCATAATTGAAAACATATAATACCGAAATATACCAACCTGAAGAAGTAAGCTGATGATGTAACGTGTGTAGACAAGAGAATCAATTCCAAGTTGTTCCAGCTCATGATTGAGCCAACTATGCACAGATGAAGGCAATGCTGCCTCCATAGTAATTCTATATTCCGGATACTTCATGGGCAAGAAGGGCATAGGCCACTGAAATAATGATAATTATTGAATAATAAGCTATTTTTGAAATAATGATAATCATATCATAAATAAGTTTCAAGGTTAAGACTGACATGTTTTAAAATAATATGTTGGTCATCTATACATTTTAATTTTCAATAACTAATCTTTTAAAATGGCAAAATCTCCTTACCTTTACAACAAACTATTAAATATTCATGTTTTATACTCTATCCTGAACAAATAATCAAACTTTTAAGACTAGTCGACAGACAGCATGCTCCACTTTTCCAAGAGCCAGAGAGGGTAATTATTATATGCTATTATTAAATTAGAAAAACAGCATAATTCTGCCAAGTGCTTGAAAGACTTATGTTCCCTTGACTACGTAATAGAATCCATAGGTGTACCGTGTAAGGCATGTTATGATCATTGATAGTACTGAAATGAATTGACTTTTTAAACAGAAAACTTCATGATGGCTTGTGTAGTGCTGAAAAAAAAAAATTGTAAATTTTATTTACTGAAAATTTATTGTCAAATCCTGAAACAAAATAGTTTAGAAAAGCCTTGGTTACTTATTTCCACAAATATGCCTTTTCTACTTACCTTTATCAAAATTTAACAACTTTCACAAACAATCATAATGCAATCAAATCTCTTAGCAAACATCATTGAAATGAACGTGTAGAAGATGACTTCTTGTACAGATGAACGTCTTCAACTGTGAATCCATTTTGGACCACTCAAGTTTACTGACTGTATATAATTCTGAAAAAGGTAATGTAACACATAATCATATTGTTGGAATGATTAAAAAAGAATTTTGTACAATAAAACTGGAAATAAAAAAGTTTTTAGTAAAAACATTGTGTATGTAAGACGGTCTCAAATTTACCAGAAAGAGTCGTCTCCTGTTCAAACATGCTAGACTTTAAAATTTTCTCTATAATTGATAACTGGTGGAATGCTAGCAGACCTTTCATCTCCAATTCTAGTAAATGTATATATTTATACATGTAATTATAAATGTTTTTAAGACTATTTAAGGTAGACATTTATGCCAACTTATTTGAGAATCTCTCAACCCATGGCTAGAATACAGCCTTATTTTTGGCCTTCAATCCCATTCCCACTGAGAGTATAACCTTGACTCTTGAGCTATGACTCTAGCTCTTCTCACCATTACCCCCTCATTTACCTCAACAAGTTTTGGAAAATCCCATAAACTATCTGGACAAGATTGGGTGAATGCTGTAGAGATAAATTACTTTCCATGATCAAGTATGAACTTTAAAACATAATCTCTTTATCTATCTTTCCTTTCAAGTCCTTATTTTTAAGATTTTAGAATTTGTTATTTAACATTTTTATTTTGTAACTTACAATTGGGAATTTTTTCCTGTGGATTGGGAAAACAGTGGGTTTTTTTCAATTTTGGGGGAATGGGGGTCAGTGGCTGTGCCCTTTGGAGTAGGGTTGTCATTGATGGAAAATTTTGTATCGATATATCGAGACAAATATCGATGATACATCGATATATCGACTTTGACAGTAAATACAATAAAAAACATCTATATATGTCGGGGTTTTTTTTACTAACAAATTGACACAGATCGTTGGCGTCTTCCCCTCAGTAAATAGCCAAGTTTTTTCCCCAAAAATTCTATTTTCCCTTTGGACTCTTAAGGAATTAAATACTTAAAAGGTAAAAAATATTAAATTTTTCCATTTCAGCAAATAAAACCTACCAATTGTAGCCCAAAATAACCAAAAACATTGCAGGAATCTGCAAGTAGTGTCTGAACATGGGGAAATCAAATACTATCAAAATATCATCATTTTCTTGTTAATTTTTTTTTTAGTAAAGTAAGATCTTTTGTATTCCTAATTATGAAAATGACTTGTATGGAGCAAAGGTGTTTTACAGATATACTATTATACCTATACTGTAATCATTCAAAAAGGGAAGTGTAAAAATCATTCATCATCATTCTCAAGATATTGTACTGCAAATAATAATACTTTGAATGATGATAAAGTATTTAAGGAAAAACAGATATTGTTGTGACTCTCTACAATGTACTTTAGTATACAGTATGTATAATAGGATTTTCTGTTAACATTTTAATTTTCCCCAAATTGACTTTTTTGTGTATTTTTTGCCCTCCCTACCAGCGTCCAGTGTCTTCCCCTTTTCCTAAAAAAAACCCCTGTATGTGCTATAAATTGTGATCATGGTGTTATGCATGCTTGTACATTACATGTACTATAAACTAACAGAAAGTTTGTTTTTTCTGTTAATCTTGTCACTGACATTTGAAAACGGAGTTTAAGGTTCAAGATAGCCAAGAAAACTAGAAAAAAGTGACTTCTCTTATAAGCCAAAATAGTGAGGTATATTAACTGACAGAAATAAAATTCTTTAGCTTGTATCGATATGTGAAAGCGAATATCAATATTGTATCAGCTGATGGATATCGATGATATATCGATCTCGCGATATTCAATGACAGTCCTACTTTGGAGGAGAAAAAAATGCAGTAGGAGGGGGAATTTCATTTGTTTATTTATTTTAATATATTGTTTTCTTTCCAGTAGAAAAGGGGAGCAACTCTTGCATAAAAAGTTTAAAACATGTCACTTTTTCTTAATATACGGATCTAAAATAAGAAGTGTGACGTCAAATGTTAAACTTGTTGGGACGCCAAGAGTAGCTCCCCTTACCTACACGAAAACGATTTGTAAACAACCTTGCTTAACAGTAAGTCTTACAGGCATAAAATAAAACATTTTTCCGCGGTTAGTTACAAAAAAATATTCATTGCAGGCAAATTAGGTCTGTTGTATAGGAGGAAATTTCGGCTTTTAGGGGGGGAACATACTATTTTGAGGGGGAATGGGGTTGAATTTCGCCGAATATTTTGGTGAAAAAAAAAACACTGAAAAAAATTATACTGCTTTCAATTCATTATTGGGAATATGACTGAATATAGGCTATGAAATTAGCCAAATTACAGACAAAAGAAAGAACTTGTGAGTTGATGGCTTTTAAATTTAAAGTGCCGAGCTGTCCTCTTACTCTAAAATTACTGTCTGTGATCATTAATAGGCAAGCAAAAGCCTGAGTCTAGTAGAAGTAAAATTCCATTCACACTAGCGTAAAATATATGGAACATAATCCAACGGTCTCGCGATATTCAATGACAGACACAAGTGTATTGGGATCTGAAAGAATATGAAAAGTATCATAATTCCCTATTACATAACCTCCTGTTTCAGCTTGCAACTTCCTCGCATCTTCCTCACATTTTAAGTGTGGCACATGATTAAATGTGTAATAACAAATCAATTCAAATTCTTAGGATTATATTCTGGCAGATTTTATCTTAAACGTTCTATCAACGTAATGTTGTTTGTCAAATTACCCAAATTTTCAAAACATTTGAGGAATTCCATGAAATCATGAGAAGTGGGAGGGGCACCTGTCAAAAATTATGTCCTTGGACATCACTGGTGAAAACAACGGAATTATGCGTATCTAATATTGGTATAATGCATACACATAAAGAATAAATAATGATGACATACAAATTATGTAATTAAGCCTTTAAAATACCTTGAATATGAAATGTTGCAATCACGTTTGATCAGTTTTCGCAGGGTCATTTTGACAGAACTCAGTCTATCTCCGAAATTGGCATTGTTTGGACTTTAAAGCGTTAAAAACTAATCATACATGACAGTTATTACATTAAACAACCATATTCGGTTGTCTATACTCAATCAAAACAGTTCAAAACATTCTTCCGTAATATATTTTGCGTTGATTTACGTTGGCCGGATGAAACTGGGGTGAATATTTTCACTTCTACGGAAGTAAATACCTACGCCGGAAGTGACGAAATTTGAAAAAAATAGTTCTACAATCTATTCAAAAGTTTTCATTAATCTTACCTTATTGAAAAGCTTTAAGCATACTGTAGTTTTTTGACAAGAAGGAATTACAGATTTACGGTAATATGGTAATAAAATAGACTGAATATATCAGAATCGTAACTTTACTGCAAATGGAGGCGGATTAGTTTGTAGGTCATTGGATCTACTTTTTCACGTAGGCAGACGTTCTCTGGCAACAACAAAAACGCGGGAAAAATAAGGCTTTAAAATTGGCATAGATGTGAAAAATTCTCTGTCAATTTCGCTATTATTCTGGAACAGACCCGTGGTGTTAACCAGGGGTAGATCTATATAGATCTATAAGTTTCATTCTGTTTTCTTTAACCATTTTTAAAAACAAAAGTAGATCTATTAAACTAAAGAAGAATTAAATTTTGATAGACATAATATAGATCTATACAGTATTGTAGATCTACTACATGATGCGAGTGATACAAAAATAATAGCATTCATTTTAAATGTACGGGCACTGGGTGGACTCCAGCAGGAAAAGACGATTTAAGAACTTAATATTTTAGAATTATACTTCTAAGTGTTATAATGAGGTGCAGTCCAAAATAGCCGATGGTTCACATATACCCTACAGCGCTCTATTATGATGTGGAAGTTTGAAGTTAAAAATAATCATTTCTAGAAAAAGAACTAGATCAGGATCTAAGTCCAAAGAGGACAAATTCTGGATATAGGATCTAGCCAAGCTATCTGGAGTATTGAATATTCTCACAAATTTAATTAATGATTTGAGTGATAATAAGGAACGCTGTGTAGGCCTACATACTTGAAGTCTGAAGCAGACACCTTAAGAAAGGAAGAAGTAGATCTAATAGAAAAAAAAAACATTTCTAGATTACAAATTCTTAGTTCAAGTGAGGGCGGGAGTAGTTCTGATAATTTTTGTGCTAGAGTTAGGAACCTTGTGGTTTATGGTCAGAAACATGATTATATTTCAAGCTGAAGTAAAATTTTTAATCAGAAAATTTTGACGTGGTCGCCGATACTGAGTGAGTAGGACAGCTGTCAATATGAATATACATGTACTCCCTATAGTCAAGATTAAAATGATGTGCACGCATAATCTCCATACTGCCATCAATCCATATACCGGTAGAAAGTTTAATTTAAAAATATAATACTTTTTGAATGATTACAAATATTGTTATACCGTATTTGCTATATTTTAAGTCTATTTGTCCCCATAACAACCATTTTTTCAACATAGGAAGAAAAAAATGATTTTCATAATCTCCAAACTGCAATCTACCCATATGTCAAGTTTCATAAAAACATTTCAATAATTTTTCGTTATCACGGGATCACAGTTTTGTGGACGGACGGACTGACTGACGGACAGACGTACGAAGGGTAATTCTAAAGTCGCCTCCGGTTAAACGGATATGGTACTAAAAGTACACAACATTCATATTCTTCTTCAGTGCCTTCCCACGATAGTTTTCGTGCAGAAATAAGCGAAACAAGATTGTTGTTTTTTTTAATCTTTATGGCTTTTTCTCAACATTTAGAATATGGTACTATATCTACTAATTAAAGTAAAGTCCCGCTCCCTCATACGTTGCATGCAGTGTTAAAATACGGGAAACTGTGAAAACGGATTTTATTTTCAACGGTTTCTAAACGGACTATAATTATGAGTGGTACTGGAGTATACGACTGAAGTCACTAAACATTTGCCGTGATTTTGGAGTTTTTGTTGTATCTCTATAAAAAGAATTTCGGATATAACGAATCAATCTATCGGTTTGCTAGGCTTGTTCCCCTGTAATAATTGCATAAAGTCCGTCTAGGCTCACCTCCCAAACTCCGCTCCACCTCCCAAACTCCGCTCCACCTCTTTGCATTCTCTTTTTCCTTGAAAGGATAATAACTATGATTTTAGCTTAAATAATTGACATTATATGTACACTAGGTCGTCCAAGCTGTCTAACAAATTTGTAAAAAATTGCGAAATTATATTATTCATGCAGCTGAAATAGTTCTTTGTTCGATGACATTTTCCGATTTTTACTGAAAGTCAATATTTCAAAATATAGATTGAAATCTTTACAGCACCTACCTTTTTAAGCACTGCTCTTTTACCCTTGTTTGATACTGTTCTTTATAGGGAAGTGAAGGACGAGAGATGAAGAGACTGCAGATTGGAGTAAAATGAGCCGCGTCACGACAAAACCAACGTTATGCGTTTGCGACCAGCATGGATCCAGATCAGTCTGCGCATCCGCGCAGTCTGATCAGGATCCATGCTGTTCGCTATCAGTTTCTCTACTTGAAATAGGGTTTGTAAGCGAACAACATGGATCCTGATCAGACTGCGCGGCTGCGCAGGCTGGTCTGGATCCATGCTGGTCGCAAACGCATTACGTTGGTTTTGTTCTGAGGCGGTTTAAATGATTTCGATGGCATGGAAAGGGTGTTTTTTATCATGATTTGTGTTGAATATTTAATATATTTGAAAAAATGAAAACTATGTTACAAGAATTAGCAAAGAAATTATAGAAAAGGTATTTTATAAGTATAAATTGTATAATAGAAGGAAATGATATTTCACGGTGGGGGGGGGCAATTTATAGAAATAATAAACTTATCGTGGCTCAGAAGTCGCCATTACTCTTTTGTATTACTATACATTTCCCCCGTGATATTGCTTAACAGCCAGTGACCCCTAAAGATCTATAGTCGTTGACCTTAAAGATTGTCATGTGTAACCATTTGGTCACGACTCATCTATAGTACTGATAATCATGAATATAAAATGAAAAAAAAATTATATTTCAATATACTTTTACATGAAATACTTCGCGCGTTTAATCGTTAAATATCTTCACTATATAACCATAGTCGAATGCTGTATGTACTTGTATAACGCAAGGATAGTGTCGGATTTGTAGAGGTAAGGTTTTATTTCAAACTATGTTTTCATTATATTATATATATGTACAATGTACATGGTTTAATTTAGGTAGTACATGTATGCATTATATAAAACTATGCTTTCATTTATTCACCGTCTATAAATAAATAAAATTACAAAGTCATATCGATGTTATCGATTCCGAATTAGAAAAAAATATACTTAATAATTATTAACACACGATCGTACATGCCGAGAACAGCAAAATGTAACAATGGATATATGAATTGGAACATGCAAGAAAAACTATTCCAAATGTAGCCACATAAGATATAAGAATTGGACAAGACATACAATTCCAGAATGATATAATTAGAATATTATAAAAAATGTTATTACAATTTAAGTTTTTATTTGCCCATTATTACATTATTATATCATATAAAACCCTTGTCATGTTGGAATTGTAAGTAGATTATGTATCAAGGCTCTGTCAGACAAGACTCTACAGTATTGTTGATAATTCAATTTTTGTATGTACTCCTTTCAAAATTCCTTATTTTCATTTTAGTTCCACCCATTATTTTCTCGTTTAGGACAAACGCATTCTTTTACTTTGAGGCCATTTGTCGCTTTTCATAGAATGGCACATGTATCTATGTGTCACGTTGAAGACTACCTGATAAGACTTCATGATAACAACCATAGGTTAGGTTTCCAGTTTTGATTATTACATCATATTTATTTATCTTATGTTCCTTTAACATCTTTAAATATCTCGTATGGTATTTTGTCTTTCTTTCCTACAATATCTTGGAATAACTAGTATAATAATGTGCACTAAACAAAATTTTAGTAATTTGATTATTCACATCCCTTGAAATAGTATTAGACTGTTCCATATTTAAAGGTGACTTGAGTTCATGATAAACATTCAAAATGACAAGGGTTGAAATACAGTGTTATATCATTTTTATAAACCTTATGATCATTTAATATGTTTTGTTTTGCTTTGTTTTGGCAGCAACACCTTATTTTTCTTTATCCAGGATGTATATAATGGTCTCACGTGCATCAAAATAGTAAACATCACAAAATCGACTTGCTTACATGTGCATTAAGTATTATTCAGTGAATTACTGAATTCTAAATTTATAGGTCATCTTTTGACATGTGATAAGAACACGAATGTCCGGATTCTGTACTTTCAGTGCCTAAAAGGGTGGATGGGCCCTCATTAAGCATAGAATAAACACAGACCTTAATCTACCTGAACTGTAAGTCTTCTGCGCAGACTAGCCAATCTCTAAACTGTTGCTATCTCATTTTTATGGTATTTTCATGTTGAAAACCTATATATGGACTGTGAAATACACAGCTCCAAATTCAAAGGAACTCCATTACACATAAACAGCAGCCTAAAACACTGTTTCAGGAATACAGTTGTTAAAGATCATGTATGTTGTAATTGAGGTTGTATATCACACTTAATAACATTATATATATATACTGTATGTATATAATCATGCTTATAAAACAATTTTCAAACATCGAAGAATATGTAAATTATGTACTGCAAATATTTGTACATATTATATGTAATCATTAAAATATATGCATTCATTTCTTATTGAAAAATTTGACTTAGACTTTATAGAAAATATTTTTTTTATTACAGCCAAGTCCAATTGATTTTAGGGTCATAAGGTCAAAGTTCCATTTGGCCCACAGTGTTCGAACGTCATAGTACGATTGTCAATATTGAGTAGAAGACCCCTAGTAATTTTTGGGTCAGAAGGTCAAAGGTCAAGGTCACTATAACCTTGAAACTGAAAACGGTTTTTGCTCAATAACTTAAGTATTAATCAACCTACAGCTGTAAAATTTTATAGGATGAACAATCATGTCCAATAAATGACCCTTATTGATTTTAGGGTAATAAGGTCAAAGGTCAGGGTCACAATCATCTTTACACTGAAAATTGTGGTTTCTGGAGCATAACTTAAGTTCCTTTTAGCCCACAGTATTCAAACTTCATAGGATGATTGTCAATATTGAGTAGAAGACCCCTTATAATTTTTGGGTAACAAGGTTAAAGATCAGGGTCACAATGATCTTTACACTGAAAAGTGTGGTTTCTGGAGTATAACTTAAGTTCCCTGTAGCCCACAGTGTTCAAATGTCATAGGATGATTGTAAATATTGAGTAAAAGACCCCTAGTAATTTTTGGGTCAGAAGGTCAAAGGTCAAGGTCACTATAACATTAAAACTGAAAACGGTTTTTGCTCAATAACTTAAGTATTAATCAACCTACAGCTACAAAATTTTATAGGATAAACAACCATGTCCAATAAATGACCCTTATTGATTTTAGGGTCATAAGGTCAAAGGTCGGGGTCACAATCATCTTTACACTGAAAATTGTGGTTTCTGGAGCATAACTTAAGTTTCTTTTAGCCCACAGTATTCAAACTTCATAGGATGATTGTCAATATTGAGTAGAAGACCCCTTATAATTTTTGGGTCACAAGGTCAAAATTCAAGGTCACTATTACCTTAAAACTGAAAACGGTTTTCGATCAATATCTTAAGTATTAATCAACCTACAGCTGTAAAATTTTATAGGATGAACAGCCATGTCCAATACACAACCCTATTGATTTTAGGGTCATAAGATCAAAGGTCAGGGTCACAATGACCTTAACTTTCTGGAGCATAACACAAATTCCAGTTTGGCTTACAATGTTCAAACTTCATAGGATGATTGCCTGTATTGAATAAAAGATCCGTATCTATATTGGGGTCACAAGGTCAAATGTCAATATCAAATGACCTTAATATTGTTAACAGTTTTACAACTGTAAAACTTCATAGGATGATCACTTATAATGAGTACATTAATTATATTTCCTAAAAAATTTGCTTATATTATGTTATACCCCTGGCGTCTTCTCGTTTATACGTCGTATCATTTTTACTTACAAGATAACAACTTATAACAACTTGATGGTGGTGCTTTGGAAACATCAACTCTATATATATGAAGGTTCTTTAGCTGTAAAGGAGGATTGCTTTTTGAAGGAGGTAACACTGTTCTATATTGATATATATTGGAACAGACTTTAGTTGTTGATAGGCTCCGCCTCCATAGCATGCTACATGTAACATCACTTGTGTATTAAATCTTGGAATATTAAGACGTACTCTTGTTGTCTCTTCTAGTTCAAATTATACAATAGTATATTTTACTGGACATCTCATTTGAGATAAATATTCTTGATAATATACTTGTCATTAAAACAAAACATACAACAAACACGTTATTTAATACCCATGTCTTACAAATGCTTCATCCTTACTGGAAAAAAAACACTTTCAGGCATATAATGCTCCGCCTAGCGGTGCTCTTGTTACATAATGTAATGTAATTTAACCGTTTTTCTATGCGTTTTTTTTGTAACATATGCAACTACTTAAACATTTATGTATAATGCAACAATATATTCATGATTCATTCAGTCAAATTAACTAGGCTGTGAAAGTAAAATGATAATTTGGTTTTTTGATACAAGCAAGCATATGACAGATGTAGGTTTCTCGTTCATGAATAAAATGATATGGATTTTGTTATGAAATAAGCATGTTTGAAGAAGCATGCAGACATTCGCTTAGTTTCCAATACTGGACTTTTAATTTGTACTGGAATATTGTATTAAGTATAAATTGACCATCTGAAAAAGAACACGTAAGAAAATATATTTCCGTCTTTTGACTAAATGAAGGACTTTGTTATTTTTCAAAAGGTATGCCGGAAATAGAAGGAAATAATTACGAAGAAAGTGCAGATGAATGTCATTGTCGTCTGAAGACTACAAATGAGTCTTTATTGGAGGATGGGATCAATGTATCTTACAGTTTTGATCTCAAAACTGAGGAAAGTCGGGAATTTCTGAATAGCTCTTTATTGAAATCTGAAGGAAACGCGCGCGCGCACCCAAACTTTAATGACGTTGATCGAGGATGGGCCTGGGTCGTATTGGCGGGAAGTTTTGGAACGTTTTGTCTGATGGGAGCAACGCAATTTTCAGCAGGAATAGTTCACATGATTCTACTGGACAAATACGATTCTGGCGTGTCACTGGCATCGGTGGCAGGGGCCGTCCATGTATCTATAATCAGTATTGCAGGTTGGTGTCATCTTTACATTGACTTTAGAAAAATAATATATATTTTAGTATATATTCACTGCACTATTTAGTATACATGTATATAAAAAAGACAAAATTTACAATGTTTACAAACACTTACAATTTTGCCAATTCTTCAATTTCACATGGCTTTGATTCGCATAATTTTGTACAGATTCGGTTAATGAATTGATGGATATATCACTTCAGTGAATAAAAAAACGCCAATATGTAGTCAGTGCCATCTAAGAGAATCTTACTTGACTCTGTCTTAATTCCAACCGACAATACGCTTGGTTTCAATATGTTTTAATATAACACTGGCATTTCGCTCGGAGCCAGGCCAGTTAAAGCCAGCTTATCTTTTAAAATACTATTATAACTACGTATTTCAACAACAACTGGTTTATACCTAGAGTAGATACGTTTTTGTTTAATTAGAGGCATTTTATGCTTCACAAGAGGCTGTGCGACTCTAGATGTTTGAACCTATTTTCAAAATGTCCTTTACTACACTTAATATCTTATATGGACTTGTCCATATTTATTTACTTGAATGTCCATCTTCAAATCTCGATAAAGCATTAATTTTTAGGGGGAAACACGTTCTGACGACAAGAATGTGCCGGGTGATCTTGGACTGCACTTGGCGCGTGTGTAGAATCAGTTGCCACATGCAGGCTAGCTAAGAGTTAATCAAATCAAATATCAGTAGCTTTAACAATGTAATTCTCGCAGTCCAAGAGACGAATAGACGGTTTAGAATTTGTACATCCAGAAGTGCCGAATTGTTCTGTATATCTTGACATTGACAATATTTTGTAAACTAGGTGTAAACTAGGTGTCCTTTTTTTTTAATTTTAATTTATCACAGAGATTAACAAAAAACCTGAAGGTATGCTGCTTTAATAATATCATTATAATGTGTATTACTGCAGAGAATGCATGTTGTTATCCGTTTTCTTCGCCATTACCTTGACATTCTGTTACTTACTAATTAGTAATATACATTATATGTTTACAAGGACAATATACTGGTTAATAAATACTACGGTGTTCTAAACGTGCCATTAATAATTATATACGGAACAACCAGAACACCGTGTATCACCACCATACTATTCTTTGCAGCACCTATATCAACCTTTGTATTGGAACGCTTCAGTTGTCGCGTTGCTATAGTAACGTCAGGATGTTTGTTCTTCCTTGGTTACTTAGGAACAGCATTTGCACCAAATATTGAATGTGTCATTTTCACATACGGAATAGTTGCAGGTAAGATTTAAAATAAATCAAAGATTAATTTCATAAATTTTAAGTGCTGTGTGACTAACTTTTGTTAACAAGTTTCAAGAATTTAAACAGACCGTTGTTGAGGATCGGACTTTGCGGCGGATTTTATTCAGTATATTTTTTATTTATTTTGGAAACCTTTCGTCCTACATTCAATTTGATGTGCAAATACCAATTTAGAGATACATGTATATATTGACAAACACATTAAAATAAAATTTCAGACCCGTTTAGATCCGATTGTTTTGTACAAGAGAAAAAAGAGACTTTAGCACCTAAACAAAACACTTGAATGACAATGGCATATTCTAGTAGTTATGACGTAATAAAATCTATCAAACCTTATTTATTAGCAATCATTCTTTTCGGACATATTTTACAATAAGAGATACTTTAGTTTTTGTTGATTGATTAGGCCTGTGTTCATGTTTTTAGTGTTAAAGTCAATTATCGTTATCTCGAAATCGCTTTTCCCGATGTTTTTGTTATCTCGAACAAATTTTGAAAGTCCAGGTTTTTCCTTCTTCATCTATAGCGAATTGTTTGTATTCTGTCCAGTGATTCAACATACAATATATCTCTTGCATTCTATAGGTTTTGGAGGAGCACTTGGCTACACAGCAAACATGGTTCTAGTCGGTTATTACTTCCAAAAGAAAAGAAATATAGCAATGGGTATTGCTGTATCCGGTGCTGGGTTTGGAATATGCGTTCTGTCTCAACTTATGCTGTATATTCATACACAATATGGTTCTTTTGGATTCTTTTTGATAATGTCTGGAATATTTGCACAAAGTATAGTTTTTGGAATGGTAGCGAAACCTAGCCAGTTAGAGATATATACTAAAGCTAGGCGAAGGGAACTAGCCATTGCTAATAACAGTGACAGTGATACTTTTGATGTTTGTAACCATGCAAAAGCATATTTGACTGTTTTATCAAATAAAGCGGTTCTTTTCTTAAGCTTAGGAATGTTTAAATTTTGTCTTGCAACTTATCTAATATATATGCACTTTCCACATTACGTTGTCGAGATGGGGTTTTCGCCGTCTGTCGCTGCAAATTTTCTCTCGTTGTCTGGGATATTAACCGTGGCTGGAAGAATTTTAACCGGCTCTTTTGCTTCTGTGAAATGTGTAAGGGAGGATATCTTATATTGTCTACCAATGTTTGTATTAGGTTTTATGACAATTCTGTATCCATATATTTCAAGTACGTTTGCAGGGAATTTGACTTACACAGTATTTCTAGGATTACTTTACGGGAATGCGTATGTATTGACAGCGAGTGTTTCTGTTCGGTATACAGGCATTGTCAACCTCGCTAAAGCTATTGGTGTCCAGTATTTTTTCGCTGGTTTAGGGGCGTTAATAGGACCAGTTATAGCAGGTAAGTATCAGCTACTTTACTGTCTTTTAAGAAAGAAAATTAATTTTGTTATAAATGAAAAAAAAGTAAAGTTAATCAACTGATTTGCATTATTGATCTAGTATCTAGATCTATATTTCGAAAGGGAGTGGTGGCCAAGTGGTTAAAGTGTTAACCTCTCAATCTAGGGACCATGTGTTCAAGTCCTACTTGGGTGAGAGCGATGTTTCTTCTTATGGTACCAGTACAGGTTGGTACCCGGAAGCGGAATAGAAAGTGATAAAAGTGGTTCAAAGAACTTGTTCCACAATTGAGCTTAAAAATTGTCTAGATCATTTACCAAGTAAATTATCAATTTATTTTATTTATTATGTGTTTTTTGTTTGTTTGTTGTTTTTTTAGCGGGGGCTGGAGTGAATTTATCACACAAGTGATGATGGCTCCACGAGATCGACCTTTTTTGCATATTGACAAATGTATAATAATTATATAATGCATGACAAATGTATATCAACTAAGATTGTGTATAATTATATATATTTGTAGGAATCATCATAGATGCTGGTGGGTTATTTGACGAAGCTTTCTTCACAGCTAGTAAGTTTTAATGATAACTTTCTTTGTACGATTTGTAAATAATGACAATGACAATAGATTTTATTTAGCACAAAATGTTTATAGCAACAAATGATGAAACAATTCCAATACACATTCCATATATACAAATAGTGAGCATTAGTGCAAAGGCAGTAATAATCTATTCGGCATGTTTCTTTAGGGAAGAAATCATTCTTTCGCAGTATAGGACGAAAGGCTGCATATAAGCCGTTCTATTTTATGTTAGTATATTACTAAATCAATTAAATAAATACCAATATTTTTATTGTATTACCGACGTTGCTGATTGAACGGTGCGGCATCGTCGGATACCCACGGTTGATTAACGTTAATGGTTCAGTCGTGGGTTACCGACGATGATTGAACGGGAGACTGGTACATTTTACAAATTCAAAATCACTGGTACATAACAAACTGATGTTAACTTTATTTACTCTTTTTTTTTGTTTGCTATGTATCTTTTGGAATATTTTCAGGTGCCTTCTTATTGCTGGCAGGTGTGGTAAGCGGGATGGCCACGTTTGTGTCCCAGCCAAATTCTCAGGAAATAGAAATTGAAGAGACGGAGTTCAATAAAAAGACAAGCACTCCTCTCTGATTCGAAAAAGATTTCCTAGCATGCGCAATTTAAATATATTGATGAAAATAGTAACCAAATTCATTTTTTTTTATATTTCCTGATTAAGTCTGTTTAATTGTTTTTTAAATGTTCATTATAGTACAGGAAAACTCTAATATAACTTGCTAAATTTCCTTCCTGCAAAGAGTAGTTCAAAATCTATGATACAGAATTCTTTCAGGGTATGAATATTTAAAAAAAAATTAAAACCTAAATCTAGTTTGTTGAGTAAGCTATTAAATAAATTAGCCATAGTAAAAATCTCTAGTAATTATTGATTTATTTATTCAAATGGTAAAGATGATCAATGTTTTTTCTAGTGAGATTGAACTTTTAACATATTTTCAAGAATGGAAATATTAGAAAATGGTTTCAATTTTTATGGAAAATGCATTGTCCGTGCAGTGATCGAAGTGTGCATTATACTGAAAAGTAATAAATATTCTGAGGTTGAGATATATTAAACACATATTAAATCTATTCTAAGGTGTTTTAATTTAACTGATAAGTTTCTGACAACTATCAGGTAACTTGTTATGTAGTTCTTACTTCAAAAGAAGTTTGAAATTATAAATGTACACTTTTTGTTAGATTATGAATATGTTCGACCAATTTCGGACTATTTGAAAATTGTCACATGTTTTGTTCAATAAGCTATAAAATGAAATAGCCATGGTAAAATCTCTTAAAAAAACTGGTGATTTGTTTCCTAAAATGATGTAGATAATTATTATCTATTCTATTTTTATTGAATATAAATTAATTTTTTTTTTAAAAATGTTAAAATTGGTATTTGGATTAAATTTTTTTAACAAAAAATGCATTGTCCGAGCACCGTTTTGAAACATTTATGATACTGAAAAATAAAAAAATGTGAAAATATTTTAGTTTTTGTATTATTATTTTCATAGAATTGATGGAAGTAGACTATAAAACACATATTTGGATAGTCTAAAATGATAATTTCGAAAATAAGACCTTGTTATGTTACTTAGGTCTTCACTTTATTTTCTCCATTTTCTGAAATTGAGGGTGACCATATTGAAACACAAATATCTAGAGTTGTAGGTAAAAGATGTTAAAAATCCTGCAATTACATGCTTAAATATTATATATTTGAAAAAGAAATGTTTCTTTGTTATTCTTGAAAGTGCCCATTAGGGTCCGTAATCCTTAAGTGACGGCGTGTTATAGTAGTTAACGCGTCGGACTTGTACTTTAAGAATTGATGGCTGGCCGTGTGGGTTTGAACACCGACATTTCATTGAGCATTGAGCAAGAAATACTACACTCATTTCTTAAGTTTGGTAAAATCAAGGAACGTATCCGAGTGTGTGTGTCTATAAGCTTATATAGCTTCATTAATGTTGTATAAAAACTTGCGGCTATACATGTACAATGTATAATTATCTGGTCGTCTGTCTCGCGAGAGTGACAGAACGCCAAAATGGCGGCACCCGTAAACTTATTTCTCAAGTAAAAAATAGTGTCTTAAAACACGAATTTCTCACTTATAGGATTGATGTCAACAGAAAAACGGTCATGGTACCTCTTTTTAAATGATGAATATTTATATTAGACATACATCAATCCATCCATTCCTATTCCTTTAAACTACTAGTACTATTTTTCACTCATAGTTTCATTATTTTGGTCATAATTTTTTTTTATTATTATCACTATTTATTATCATTGATATTTCCTTGTCCTATGTTAGTTCAAATTATTTTTTCAACATTATTATCATTGTTATCATCATCATCATCATCATCATCATCATCATCATTATTATTATTATTATTATTATCCTTATTATTACAATTAACATTATTATCATCATCATCGTCATTATCATATTATTATTATTATTATCATCATTATTATTATTGAATAACTGCGTTGTATCAATTCCGTCAGTCATAACTACTCTGACTGTATACAAAACTTGCTCTGAAACTAAGAAAAAAAAATTTCACCCCATGCCGCATTTTTTAAAATTCATTTTTGAAGCTGTACTATTTGAATTTTTTTAATCAAGTTTGCATGTATAAAATAAAGGATAAAAAATTAAATAAAAGGCCTGGCACGTTTTGTTTGGAGATTTAATGCATTTGTAAGACAACCATCATACTTATGCACAATGAGTGCAATTCTTTTGGCGGGACGACAAAAATTCCCATTCATCAATTTTTTATTTTAACGTTTTAGCAATACGCACATATATTATAAATGTGTATTTTAATAAGGCCACTTCTTTTCTTATTCGTGAACTTGAATTCACAATAGTAGATTCATGTTTTCTGTAAAATTGGATTACATAGGTACTAATGCTTTAACCAACATTCATGAAAATGAAATCTTTTATATTGAAATATAATGTCAACCAATATGTGATATTTTACAGATTATTTAATGATACATGAAACACATCAAAATTATTATCAAGATATAAAACAAACATAAATCAAAGAGATACAGCAGAGATAAACAAATACAGACTTTCATCATTTTGATGGAGATAAATAAATCAAGACTTCCGTCATTTTGATGGAGATAAATAAATCAAGACTTCCGTCATTTTGATGGAGATAAACAAATCAAGACTTACGCCATTTTGATGGAGATAAATAAATCTATACATCCACCAAAAATGATGAAGATAATTAAATCTCAACTTCAACCAAAATAGATGGAGCTAAATAAATCTAGACTTTCAACAAATAATGACAGAGATAAATAAATCTAGACTTTAAGCAAAAATGATGGGAATAAATAACGTCCATCATTTTGATGGCGATAAATAAATTTAGACTTCTATCACTTTGAAAGAGATAAATAAATCTAGACTTTCAACAAAAAATGACAGAGATAAATAAACCTAGACTTTCAAAAAAAAAATGACGGAGATAAATAAATCTGCACTTTAAGCAAAAATGATGGCAATAAACAACTTCCATCATTTTGATGGAGATAAATAAATTAAGACTTCTATTACTTTGAAAGAGATAAATAAATCTAGAATTCCACCATTTTGATAGAGATAAATAAACCTAGACTTTCAACAAATAATGACGGAGATAAATAAATCTGCACTTCAAGCATAAATAACTTCCATCATTTTGATGGAGATAAATAAATTAAGACTTCTATCACTTTGAAAGAGATAAATAAATCTAGAATTCCACCATTTTGATAGAGATAAATAAATCTAGACTTTCAACAAATAATGACGGAGATAAATAAATCTAGACTTCAAGCAAAAATGATTGGAATAAACAACTTCCATTATTTTGATAGAGATAAATAAATTAAGACTTCTATCACTTTGAAAGAGATAAATAAATCTAAACTTTCACCAAAAATGATGAAGATTTCCAGCAGTTTAGGAGGAAATAAATATAGGTCTTCATCATTCCAAAACAACAAAAATCAAATAAAACTCTTCAGTTTTCATTAGTGTAATAAATATAAAACATTTATAGACCCTGTAATTAATGACATTGCCACATTTTTTATGCATGTAAGAAAAATATTCGGGTATGCATAAGACGAGACGAAATTTTCACTGCTCTTATGATTCGTATCAGTGTCTGAATTGTTTGTGTTTGAGTGGGGAATTTATAAACGATTTTTCCTCATTTTTTGGACAATATCACTGGTAACGGGACGTTAGAAAGAATACATAGTACATTTTTTATACAAAATTGTTTATGCAATTCTCTAGATTAAAATGTTAACTTAAAGGGTCTTTATAAAAACTGTCAAATTTTACATCGCATACTATTATTAACAAAACTACATTTGCTTAACATGGCCTAGTTGTGGGCATCATGCTTCTTGTTGACAGATGAAATGCTAATATCAAAATAAAAATATTATATACTGAAGCGGATAGTGCGTATAGGGTAATAATTGTTGAAAAACATAATAGAAAAATAACTCAGACATAATTATGATGTACATGTATGTTAACTATTTTTTAGTCATATAATGTCCGTGTATCTTAGACTCAAAATGTACGTGTATCTTAAAAAATGTATTGTGCTTATGTCAGTCATATACATTATGCACGTGTTTCTGTGACACATAATATACTTGTATCTTAGATACACATTATACGTGTATCTTAGACAAATAATGTATGTGTATCATATACACATAATGTAAGTGAATCATAGACACATAATGTATTTGTATCTTAGACACATATACGTGTAGACACATGGTATACGTGTATCTAACAGACATGGTATACGTGTATCTTAGACACATTATGTACGTGTATTTTAGACTTTAGACACATACTAGACGTGTATCTTAGACACAAAATGTGCTCGTATCATAAACATTAATTTACAAAATGTATGTGTACCTCAGAACATAATGTACGTATATCTTAGACACATTATGTACATGTATCTAAGACACAAAATGCATGTGTATCTAACACATATATAGTATACGTGTATCTTAGACACATTATGTACCTGTATCTAAAACACATAATGTACGTTTATCTTAGACACATTATGTACGTGTATTTTAGACACATACTGGACATGTATCTTAGACACAAAATGTGCTCATATCTGGACACATAATGTATATGTACCTCAGACACATAATGTACGTGTATCTTAGCCACAGACACATGGAAATCATGTCCGCTTTTATGCTACTCGGCGAATAACAGTGAATTACAGAATCACTAAATGTATGATTATGTCAAAATAACAATATCATTATTAACTGCACACTAAATAGGTTTGGAACCAAATTGTTATTTTGACATAATCATATAAAGTTTCTATGATTCTGTAATTCACTGTAATTCACCAATAGCATAAAAAGCGGACATAATTTTCATACTCATGTGATATCTAAAAGTCCAAATCTACAATATATACCAAAAATGATTCTTATCAGTTAAAACCATATCTTGACTATGAAAAATAAGTTACTATGTGTATAATAATCATGGTAAATAAGGACAATAATTTGTATTCCACGAAATTTTAAATCATATTTTAGTTTTCCTTTTCTTCACATGATCAACTAAATGCAATTTAAAAGCATATTCTGAACATTCCGAACTCTATTTTTCCATTTTCGTAATGACTTTTCTAAATTGATCATCTTCAAGTTCTCTCAGCAATTGCTGATCCACATTTTGCAACGTAACACCTTTGACTCCCAGTTCTTCACCTACTCTCTGAAGATATGTGTCGTCTGGATAACCAAACCTGGAAGTGTATATATATGAAAATGTAGTTAAAAACAATACCAAAGACATAACAATTCAAATTGCGTTAAATGTTTCACGGCAGTAACCAAACCATCCGCACAATTGGACGTATTGGGTTGCACAGCCAAAAAAAGTTTCATTTTGAACACGCAAAATTATTTTATCTGAAACAATTCTATTATAAACGTAAGAATATTGGGAAATAAAAACTTATGGTCAGGATTGTACTTATATATTACATATATTATATTACATATATCTATATTTCCTTCATTATCAAACACATTGAACTATAGAAAAGGAGCATTAAGCGCCAGAAATTATTACATGTACTTATTTCCTGTAGAAAGGACAACATAAATGTATGTTTTAGAATGCTTTAATAAAGGATTTTCGTGCGAGATGCTAATCATCTGAAAAGAATAGCAATGAATGTAAAATTATTTGTGATACAGGTAGCAAAATGTAATCAAAGTGGCATTTTGTCTTCGATACAAAATACTAAATCATTTTAAGTTAATTTATTGCCAAAATCTAAAAGAAGCAAAAGATTGGTCATTTACATAGCCAATGAGTAACATTCTGGAAACTATAACATGTACCAAGAAATAAAAGGTTTTTGCTTAATAAAAATGGTAACATATTTTAGGATAAATGGGTCTTAAAGTAATCCGTATCTTACTGCGTGTTTGGCCTCATATCTGTTTTATGATGGACATCATTCCATGTTATCACACTCTCTTTTCCGGTTGTTCTTGAAGTCCCTATGGTGAATACAAGACGACGTTCAAATGCAACTGTTAACATGCAACATATTTGTCTGCCTTGTTGGTTATCTGGTAAGTAGGCAGTACGTCGTATGCCTTTATAAGCCATCCCAGGGTGTGGATGTTCAGCCTGTACATAATGAATTCAGAATATAATACGTGCTTACAACTTCAAACATGACATTTTTGCAAAAACCCATATGTTTTATAAGGGCTTTTACGTATTTGCTTTTCCACAATATTTTAAAGAAAGGCAACCAATATGTATTTGTTTAATTTGTGTACGGAAAAGAAGAACGACTACAAAAACTATATCATTGGACCTTTTTGTATGTATGATAAATGCCGCTAAAGAAGTCAGAAAGACCGAAAACTACGGCTAACATATATTATGTATTTTATTATGTATTATGATGTTTTGCAAAGTTTCTTATCAATCTGTTTAACTGTAACAAAAAATACATCTTATTCTTTACATAAGAGGTTAAAAAAATCAGTGACGGTGACATTGAAAGATATAAAAACTGTCTCTTGAAAACATAAGTTTAAATACCCCTTGTATTCCTGAATCGAAAGTGTAGCATATAGCAATGCTTTTATATTTCTCATATCCTGCAACAGAGGCAGGTTGCTTCACAATTTCCATTCTTCCATCAGGTTGATCTCCAGTTACGATCCCGCAAACTTTCCCACACGTAGGACATACCATTCTCACCTAATGTTAAAATACACTGAGACATGACTGAAGTTACTTTTGTTTTCTTGATCTATTGTTTTATGATAGATATTTCTTCTGTAACGTTTCATAGTGATAAGTTATGATGAAATTTAAGACAATGTTGATGAATAAGCGCACATGTATATCATTTCACATTTGAAAAGGATATAAAACTACATGTATATTGAAATGTAAATAATTATCAAAATAACTGTTTGTTATGCTTTCATTATCGTACAAATGATTTCACATACAATAGCATTACAATATTTTGTTAGGGGAAATTATGTTTTATATAACCATATGAAATCTCCTTTAACACATGACCAAAAAGGTATGGACATATCATGACTGTATAAGATTTGTTTTATATCTTTATAAAGATAATTTTTCAGTATATAAGCCGATAAAATAATTTAGAGGAAGATCTTCAAGTAATTGAAAGAATCAAGCGTACTGTTTTGTTTGTTTGTTTTGTTTCATTTTAAGTCATATAGGCGGGTAGTTTCCTAATCATCGTTCCTGGAGAGTTATACCAGTACTAGTACCAGTACTAGACTACCTTCCTCCGTGCTAAAATACCAAAACATCTCCTGAGGATCGAACCCACGCAAGAGAGGTAACTGGATTAGAAGCCATCGACTCTTACCCCTCGGCCACGGAGGCGATACATCAAGCGTACTGAGGCATTGCCAGTGATATATGCCGTGTCCTACAACTCCAATATTCTGTTTCTAACCCGTAATTGTAAGTACGAAAAAACCAGACAGACAATTATTTGCAAAATAATTACTCTGAAGTATCCTTCGATGCATTCTGCACAAAACACGTGTCCACAAGGAAGTTTCTTTTCGTCTACGACTTTATCCATACATATAACACAGTCTTCCACGGCTTCAACCTGCAAAGAGGGTAAGGTAGTGTGTCAAAACAAAGTACACCCATTTTCTCCTATATACAAAACTTGATTGAAAAGAGATTCAACAAAGTTTAATTGACAACAATAGTTCGTGTACTCTTTATATAGAATACCGGTATATAAAATTTAACTATTTTGTAACCATTTTGTGTATAAAAAACTATAGAAAGTGAAAATCATTACTTACTCGATCATTTGATTCAAGTACATCCCCACCAGATGCTTCACTCTTTAATTTGCTTATTACAGATTTGTCTTCATCAAGTTGTTCTTCTTTATGTGGAAACTTGGAAAAACAACATGTCATTGAAAAGCGTAAGTCACAACTCGATCTTATTTCACCAAAGATTAATTCAAAACAATAATTCATATATTTAAAGAATATATAAAATTAAACTATTTTCTAATTATTTTGTGTATAGAAACAAAAGAAAGTAAAAATCATTACTTACTGGATCATGTGATGCATGTACATCCCCACCAGATGCTTCGCTCTTTAATTTGCTTACTACAGATTTGTCTTCGTCAAGTTGTTCTTCTTTATGTGGAAACTTGGAAAAACAACATGTCATTGAAAAGAGATAGTCACAACTCATATTTCACCACCAAAGTTTTAATGTAACTTTCTTTTGAGAATATATGAAATTCAACTATTTTTGTAACCATTTTTAGAATAAGAAAAGCAATAAAAGTAAAAATTATTACTTACTTGGTCATGTGATTCATGTATTTCTCCACCAGATGCTTCGCTCTTTAGTTTGCTTATTACAGATTTGTCTGTGTCTAGTTGTTCTTCTTTATATGAGGCATTCATCTCGTCTATAGTCTTAGTAAACACATCTTTGACAATAACTGCAACTTGCTCGTCATTAATTACTACATGAATCGTGAGTTTATCCCATTTTCTTGTTTGATAAAACTGTATTAGTTCATTCAAAAGCATTTCTGTGCATGTTCTTGCATCCACATCACCTACACCTATATCATAAAATGAAATACTTGTAGACTGTTCGCGTATATTTTTTTGGGGGGCTCTTGTTATAAGGTGACATTGCTAGTCTTTAATCTCTAGGGTTTATTAAAAAGAAGGTAGGCAACATGTAACCGCGTGTTCCTATGTTAACATTTCCTTGCTTTTTAGTCACATATAGTAAATAATTCAATGCTTCTTTAGTACATATATTCAGTGATTTAAATGTAACACAATAAGAAGTAACATTTATATTGATAGACTTATAAATTTCATTTACCTGTTCCTAATAAGGGCAAGGATACAGATGTAAATCTTCTTTCTGCAACTTCTTCAAATATTTTTCGGTACATTGTGCGTATTGCTGGTGGCTCTTTCCGCGGCATAATAGCATGTATTATCCACATATAGCTGTTTCTCCCTCCAGAAGTTGTGACAATATCACCAACTGATGGCATACAACGAAACTTAGTTGCCTTATCCCGCAGGTATTCTTCACCTCCATTTTTCGACAATAACTTCGCTACGATACCTTTGGCATTTCCTACTTTGTTTTCGCTACATACAACAGCTTGTATTCTTTGCAAGTTGATTATATCTCCACTATAAATTTGAACCTGTATACCAACCTCATCAAATTTGCACACAAGCGTTTTGTTGTCGTATTCATATGAAATATTCAAACATGCAGGGCGATCCCTTGTGATATTTTTAATTGTGTGATCTTTAACAGCTTCATCAGTATTGACAAATGTTTCCTGTTTGATAAACTTTGAATTGTTGACATTTGCAATATCTGAATTGTGCCCGATGACGGAATGTGCAACACCTGGCCAGCGTTTGCCAGTAAAATTGAAATGAGCACTATCTGGTCTGGCACTGGTAAAACGTCCACCGGTATCTGGCAATCGATCGGTTGGAGAGTGAGAAGTACCTGGACTTTGACGTGTTACAGAAGGCGCATTATCCGGAGTTGCTTGCACACTATTTCCCTCGTGAGGGAATTTGTGCGTCTGTGTTTCTGGAGTTAGTCTACCTTTAGACTGGAGCCATGATTGACATTTACCCACATTTTTTTCCATTCCAGTGATTTCAAAAATGATATTGACTTCTGTAGGCGTTACCACTGTGAACAAAATGCTTGATTTAACAAACAATAAACCAGAAAAAGTGTAAAAGGTGTCTGTTCATATATTTTGGCAAGGATCAAAGTTTATTTTTACAAGAGTCTTGGCAAGAGGTTAATGCATAATCTGGAGGAAATTGGCATAAACTATTTCCACAGTGGGTAAATGGCCAATTATTTCGAAATTTGCAATAAAACGTTAAATTTAGTAAATGCAACATTATATTTTATGCGTATCCTAAAACAAAAAAGCCAAACGGAAAGTATTCTTATACGAAAATTACGTTGACCTTACATCAAATAACGCATTAATAAACGTATATGTTTCAAATGAATAATCACTGGCAAAATAGGCTTTCCAAATAACATGGGACCTTTGTAAGGAAAGAACAGTTGTTTTGTAACAATTTAAGATGGTGATTAATTCAGAGACTGTCAACATGATTTTGACAAAAATAAAGGAAAAATATTGCAAAACACAGGATTAACTCGGGAAGTATTCACTTTTGAATCAAATAGCACAGGATTTCTCCTGTAAATATAAATAAAGGTTTATACCATCCGTTCAGGAATTTTAAAGAATAACAACATATTAGTACGGCCGAATATTAAACAGTTACTTAATGGACTTTTTTATATAATGAAGCAGACGAGGTAGTACAAGAACATGAGTAATTGCTGCAGTTTATTTGAATATTTGAAAATCCTTTTGAATGAAACTATGAATCTATGATAGTGGCGAACAGAAATATTATTGTAATAGGAATTCTTTATTTAATTCGATAAACGCAAGAAGTTACCAAAGAATTCCAAATAAAGGATAATATCAGAATGGTTTCAGCAAGACAGGAACATTTTATTGAAAAAAGTAAAATACAGAAATTTAAGCATTGGCTGACAGCCTGTCATATGATTGTGTGGTTATTTAAGTGCATTGCAACATTATACATTATAATAACTTAATGTATTTACCTAGCTTGTCAACCATTCTTTGGAAGGTCTGAAGTAAAAATAGTTTTATCAAGATGAAATTGTGGCAAATGAAGTTATCGGTAATATTGCAGTTATGAAAGAGCGAAATATGTGTAACAAATCAAAGGATTACTTGAAATAAAGGACAATGCACAGCACCTTTGAAAATATCAATTGTCATAACCTTTGACGAAACAAAATTAAATTATCATTTTTATAAAATTCATTATGAAAAACAAACAAAACAATGTTTTTGGTATCAGACTTTAAGTTACTTTTATCAGTTCTATTTTTATTTGAGAGACAACAAGAGCGGCTATTTATTAATTGCATAATTATATATTATATTAACCTCAAATATATCTAAATTGTTTGGGTGTACCACAATCTGTACTTCATTTATCGGAGCTGCTTTTTCATATTCCTTTGTATATCTTTCCATTGACATTACCATTTCAGAGGCCACTTCCTTAATTGGATATTTAAGCGAACCGGTACCCATTGCTGGAAATGCTATTGATTTATAGTTGTATCCAGATGCCGTTCTTAAACAAAGCATCATTGCATTCCGTATACTCTGAAAAGTAAGCCTAATATTGAAAACGATACCTTTCATTTCCTTTCTCTGACAATAAAAGGAAAATTCTCATAGACTTTAAATAAAGTGTCAATAACATATCATTTTAAAGTTGTCACGGCTATACAGTACAGTTAAAATGATACTTATTGTTAATATGAAAATAAATTTGTTGTAAAACAAAAATTGTTGTGTCCTAGCATTGTTAGTAGTTTAAAATTAATTTTCAACAAGAGTTTGTAACAGAGTTACCAACATCCCCCGCCCCGGGAGTTTTATATGAAGCATAAAATTGTGCTATTTCAAAAGATTGAGGTATGGATCTCAGGACATTCAGTCCAAAATTATGATCAATGCTAGATCTGCAAATGTAACAATAAATTTGTTAAAAAAATAAAATGAAACACGGAATTTAAAAATCTATCATGTTAAGCTTTGACCTCTAAGTGTGACCTTGACCTTGGAGGTAGGGGAGCAGGTGTTGTGCATGACATAACGTCTTATAATTGAGACTATTTGTGCCAAGTATTTTCAAAATCCCTTGAACTATGAAGAAGTTATAGATTGGACACAAAATATACCCTATAACAGACTATGTAAATCTTTGACCTCTAAGTGTGACCTTGACCTTGAAGGTAGGGACACAGATGTTACGCATGGCATATCATCTAATCATTGTGACTATTTGTGCCAAGTATTTTCAAAATCCCTTAATCTATGAGAAGTAATGGATGGGACAAAAAATATACCAAATAACAGACTCTGTTAACCTTTGACCTCTGAGTGTGACCTTGACCTTAAGAGGTAGGGGTGCAGGTGTTGTACCTGACATATCGGCTTATTATTGTGACTATTTGTGCAAAGTTATTTCAAAATCCCTTGAACTATGAAGAAGTTCTAGATTCGACACAAAATTTACCCTATAACAGACTATGTTAATTTTTGACCTCTAAGTGTGACCTTGACCTTGGAGGTAGGGATGCAGGTGTTGCGCATGACACATCCTCTTATTAAAGTGACTATTTGTGCAAAGTATTTTCAAAATTCTTTGATCTATGAAAAAGTTTTAGACCGGACAAAAAATATACCCTGTAACAGACTATGTAAGTATTTGACCTCTCAGTGTGACCTTGACCTTGAAGGTAGGTGACCGGTTTTTGCGCATGACACATCATCTGATTATTATGAACAATTATGGCAAGTATTTACAAAATCCCTTCATAGATAAGAAAGTTATGGACCGGACACGACATATACCATCAAATAGACAATGTTGACCTTGAATGAGCAAGTACGACCTTGACCCTGAAGGTACGGGTCTGGTTGTTGCGCATGACACATCGTCTTATTATTACAAACATTTGTGCCAAGTTATTTCAAAGTCTTTTCATAAATGACAAAGTTATGGACCGGACACGAAATATACCCTGTAACAGACTATGTTAATATTTGACCTCCAAGTGTGACCTTGACCTTGAAGGTAGGTGACTTGTTTTTGCGCATGACACATCGTCTGATTATTGTGAACAATTATGGCAAGTATTTACAAAATCCCTTAATAGATAAGAAAGTTATATGGACCGGACACGACATATACCTTCAAATAGGCAATGTTGACCTTGAATGAGCAAGTGTGACCTTGACCCTGGAGGTAGGGGTCTGGTTGTTGCGCATGACACATCGTCTTATTATAATACATTTGTGCCAAGTTATTTCAAATTCCTTTCATAAATGACAAAGTTATGGACCGGACACGAAAGTGTAACGGACGGACGGACAGACGACCGAACAGACGGATGGACAGACGGACGGACGGACGGAGCCTATTTCAATATCCCCCTTTTGTCTTTGAAAAGGCGGGGGACAATCATTAACACTGCATATGTATCTTTGCCGACAAATAAGCACGGCTCTAGACACATGTCAAATTACATATGGTATCACTAAAAGTCTCAAATTGTTTGGCTACATACTATAATAAAGCGATCCAATGACCGTGCCCGTTGGAGAGTGATGTGAAAAACAGCCTTGCAATTAAGTGCGTAGCCACTTGTTACAGCAATAATATCGGGTTTTATTCCGCCAGTGAACTGTTTTTTACATTCTTCTTGAAGTCCCTGACCAGCAGCTTTAAGTAGTGCTGAAGATATTTTACCATAACTAAGGTCCAAATCCGGAGAAGCAGTATTTACTATAATGTCAGCCTTTGTAAGAAGACAAATACTCGCAAGATAAAATTAGCAAAATAAGAACATTTCAAATTCAGCTACATTACAATGATTGCAAGTTGTGAAGACGGAGAAACAAAATATATTGAAGAACATGAAAAAAAGAAAACATACTAAATACACAAAAAGAATATCTATAAAAATAAGTGAGAAACGTCTTACTTTCTTGGTCTGTCTGATATCTCTTTAATTTACTTGAAAGTACAAACGAATGCAGCAGACCTACTCAATTTATTCATGTCTTCAGACATTAAACAAGAAGGCAATGAATTCTCATATTGCTAGAAAAAAATACCTTTGTTATTTTTCAATGTTTAAGTCACACTGGGTTTGTCATGTTTTACAATGTATACCTAAGCAGCATCTTTTAAAAATATTTGTATATGTCTGCTACGAAACGCTAAATGACATAATCGAAGCTCTCGTCATTGTAGATTCACAAACGAAGACTTAAATTTATTTTCAGATACAAGGCTATGTAAAACAAATGACCCCATGGCTGGGCCATTTTTTGACACCAGAATTATGACTTATTTAACTTATGACAAGATCTACAAGGCAACGTGGCATGTAAAATATAGAAGCTTTTGGCATTGAAGTTTCACAAAAGAAGACTTAAATGCAATGTCGTATATAAGCTTATTATTCAAAGTAAGTGACCCATAGAATGGGGCCACTTTTACCCCAAGTTCATGATATAAATAAATTTTGTAGGAAAACAAAAGGCGGTGGTACATTCCAAATATCTATGCTCTGTAAGAGAAGGTGTAAATTAAGCCTTTGTAAACTAAGAGACCCCTAAGGCGGAGACAATTTTAAACCAATGAGCATGATGATTACCCGTTTTGTAGAGGACCACAAGGTGATGCCACATGTTACATATCTAAGCTATGGGCATTGCAGTTTCTAAGAAGAGGATTTGTAAAGATTTAATATTTTAGCTCAAAATTAAGTTGGATCCATTAATATAACATTTGTGGAAGACAATATCTACAGACTTCTAAGGGTTATTTCTGTGATGATTGGTCAATATCCATGAAACGGTTTAGGAGGAGACGTTGTTTATAGAAATTTACGGATGTCGACTGACACTCTGGCACCACATAAGCTAAAATAGGCACTTTGTGTTCAGTGCAAAGTGTGCAGCGATCAGTGATCACAAATGACGCCTGATGATGGCCAATAAAAAGTGAAAGGACATTTTTATTTAAGGGCCGCAACTCAACCAACAATCATTCATTAAAAAAAGAGAATTAGTCTGGACAAACTTGAAAGACAAGGCATTAACTCATTAAAAATCATTGAACTTGAAAATGCCAACGATCCCAACGATATGCACAACTAAATTTGGTACTTAACATTCCTGATAAACGTTGATGAAATTGGACTGGCAATTTTTGATGAGTAGTTCGGACAATTTTGTGACAGACAATTAAAATCAACAAGGAAAAACGACGTTCAATAAAAGGTCTAGGTCGTGTTTTAATTTTTTCAACATACAGGTCTTGTCCAAGTATAAATCAAATCCGTCATTAAAAGCAAACTATTTTTATCTAAGCTAAATTAGTACTTCACCTTGACGATCAACGTTATTTATACGTCAGGGTCATATTTAAATTACTTAACATGTCAGTTTTATCATAAGTGTTTTTTGGAAATATAAATCAAAGCAATAAATAAATAATAAATTAATAAGCGCATTGTACAAAAATCACTTATTTGACATGTAATGTCAAGGTCAAGTTAAGGTCAAGGTCAATTTAAATTAAATTGTCGTTAATGTTTATCCAAAGGAATGTTTTTCACACGTATGATGTGAATCTTTTGATTAATTGCAAAGTTAATTTAAGCGCACAGAAATGTAAAATTACAATAATTTGACCTTCAATGACATGGTCATTTAAAGGTCAAAAAGACTTGCTTTTACACATAGTCCTGAAGGTAGTTGTCACGATCCATTTATAAATTTCATAGTTATAACCAATTATAGTCAAAACCAAGCAAATTCATTACTTAGACCATCACAATCAACGTCGTTGATGAGTTACGATCGTTATTAACTTGATCTTCTTGAAAGATATTGTCCCAAAAATTTGTAGTGTATAAGCTTGAAGACTATCCATTTAAGGAACAAATGTATAGCCATTTTTATCAAAATAAAGCAAACATTTGAATTTGAAGGTCAGGGTAATCTATGATTTAATGTCAACTTCTGTCTGGTCTACTTGAAGGTCTTTTCCAAAGATTATAGTGTACAACAATGAAGACAATTCATTTAGAAATAAAAAAACAAATGTTAAAGTTTCTGGTCGGCAAAGGGAATGACAACGGGAATGACAACCTTATTGAAGCAATTGCACGAATTAAAATCGATAACTTTGACAAAATGACTGGAAGATACCCATGATATGCAAAACTAAACTTGGTTATGGACATTCACACTGTACAGTGTTGATAAAATTGCACCAGTAAATTTTGAGAAGCAGTTCGGACATGCTTTGTGTCGGTTGGAGAGACAGACGACGGAGAAGTGATCCCTATAAATATGTCATCGCTACTCTGTAGCACAATAAATGTAACTTTTAAATTATATAAAGTGACTTACTACAGCCTTGTCCAAATATCCTTTTACAATTCTAATTTTTGGTTGAACAAACTCTGTAAAATCATAAAATGGCATTGATTGAAACGAAGAAAATGCAATGTACTATTTTGTAACCCTATATAGTAAAAAAAGTTATGTGGTAGTCTAAATACATTTCTTTGAAAATTATGGGCTCATTTCACAATTACGTTAACAAACTTTTGGCCAATTAGCCCAATAAGTTGAGCGTTGTTTGTAAATCGAGCAAGCCCAGTTCGATTCCAAACCATGATATCCATCTATAGCCTCTGCACTGTACTTCTACTCTAGCATGTGTAGAAGTTATCCGTTCCCTATAAAAGGAACTTGTACTGGTTAACTGCTTGACAGCCTGCCGGAACGATGCGGTGGATGAACTATACTCTAAAAACTTCTCTTTTTTTGCATTACTGCCGTGATCCGGCGATAAACTACCAAATAAAGAAACAATAAAACCTTAAGGAGCGTAGTATCTTGGGAATCAGTATAGCAAGTTGTAAAACGGCAATTTATATTACAGTATTCAATTGTCTCTGTTATAATCAATATGTAGGGTGGCTAAATAGTGCCATGTTGTATTTTCGCTCTGCGGGGTACCAGACGTATACATGAAAATACTACAGTGATCTCTTTGTAGTACTTTTGCTCCGATGTGCGTCTGTACGATGAAGTGATTTCGGTTGGCGTCCCATGAGCGAAAAGGGACAATATTTTTTGTATTTTCGTGATATAACACTTGTCACTTTGTAATATTTTCATGTTTTCTTTGGCGCCCTGAGGAGCAAAAGAACGACATGGACACAAATCAGCCACAATAAGTAGTATGCCTTTATAATAATGAATTTAACATTGTATAAAATTATGCATGTTTGGTGTAAATAAAATTAACTGTTCACTAATTATAAAATTATAAAAGTTAAATATAAATGTAATTGCCTTTCATTTTGATCCATAAACGGGATCCAAAATATTCATCTGTTTCCACAAAATCAGCGTGTTTTTCTACGCCAAGTATCACTGAAAAACCTTCAGCTGTTCCTGATGTCATCAGCCACTCAACGAAACTGTTTACCATAATTCTCATGATACTTTTGAAATCCCAATTTGCAAAAGGCGAAATCAGAAATGCTACCACTTTTGCGCTGCTAGAAGCAACTTTCCCAAGAGTAGTGTTTATAATCTCGCCTATCGTGTTGTCATCGGTTTGTCCTCGGCTAACCTTATCCGGAACAGCGATTTCGACAAGAACATCGTTTATACCTTTAAATTTGACACCTAGTACCAGCAGAAATATAGTTAAAATAGCATCAAACAAATAAACATGGACTGAAGTAAAATATTAAGATATTGATATGAAAAGAATAAAAAAGTAATAAAAATGATGTTCTTATATTTACGTGTGTATAACTTTAATGAAAATAAGAAGAATCTTAGCAAGCAAAATAATCAATTTCCTATGCAATGTTTAATAAGCGTTAATTGACTTATAGGTAAAAATTGGTGATTACAATGTTTCTCTTCATTCTATTCATAACATTATAGACTTATTTTATTGAATCATTTATGAATGCATTATAACATTCGTTTGAATATTTTGACAGTGTTATTTACGAGCATTAATATAGAATAAGTTTATGTCTCTCTAAATGTACAAGTATTTACGCAGCCGCAATAGCACAGTCGGCAATGATTCAGTTATAGTCGAGCCCTACTGTTGCCATTAATTTTTCTCTCTTTAATTTGTACAGAAATGGCTTTTTGGAGTGCTTGCAAAAATGTAGAAACAGATGTGAATTGACTTGGAAACACTGTTTAGACTCGTATTGCATTGTATTTTTTCCGGACTTTACCAAAATAATACCAAAAATTTTAAAACAACAACATAAAAACAATCATAGCTTCAATAATGTTGACAATATAAATTCGAATATACATGGACCTACGCGGTCTCGATCTTATAACACGTTGGAAAATACGTATATAAACCAGTTGTAAACCATGGTCAGTATAATTATTTCATAATACAAATCATATTTAAACAAATCTTTTTAGGTATCGAAAATCTATCGAAGACTGCCATATTGTGTAATGACCGTAAATAAGCAGTATGCAATTGACAGGTTAATAAAATCAAACAATTCTCTGAACCGAAAGACACAACGCGTAGCATTTTGTCACGGGGACGAAAGATGTAGTTCTTATGATAACTTGTAAGGAGTTCCTGTGATAACTGTTCGTCGGAAACGTATGTATATACTACAAAAATCACGTCTAAATATTAATTTTAATCTTAAAAAGTGAGTTTGAAGAGCTAAGTTAAACTTTAATGATTAAGCTTGCCTTACATCTTGTATTATGTGTCAAAAACTATTTCATATCAATTTTTCATCGCCTTTTGTTTAAAGTCTGGTAGTTTTGAGTAAAATTTTCCAAATTATTTGCCAAATTCACCTGTTTATTTCTGTGAACAAGATATAAAAAATAGCTGTTATCTTTCCTTTTCAAAAACAATACAAGTACCCCAATACCATTATCTAATACTTTAAACGTCTATTTACCTTTAGATGGATCCCTCTTGTTCATCACAAACTTCTTGTCTACACATAAATCATCGAACGCTGAAAATTTGACAGTAAGTGTTTTGCCACTTAAGGATAACCACATACTGCTGTAATTGTCGTGAAGCCTGTTGGTAACCTGTAACCTTCCACAAACATATGTTATTTTCTTTTCAAGTAATACATTAAACTTTTGTAAGTGTTTCTCAAACTCGCCTTTATCTTCAGGTGATCTGATGATGCTTATTGGACCCGAGGAGGAAATCTTCAGTTTATTTGTACAAATAGACGGTGAGATTTCATTCAGATATCCAATAGCCCGTAAAACATTTTCTTCCTCGCCTTTAATAAAAAAGGAACAATCTGATTCAGCCCTTTCTACACCAACTTTTTCCAAATTTACCACCTGTTCAAGCTGAACTGACTTGCTAAAAAATCTGAAAAGAAATGGTTCAAGCGGACCAAACTTTTGTGTAACTTTTGTTTTTCCTTGTGGAAGCATATTCGTCGGCGAAATTGACTTTCTTCCCTCACTGATTTCTACATACTCAGAGCATGCTTCGTCAACGGCGTTTTTCTGACCTAGTAAGTTAAGACGACAGGTCTCATCAATATAAACAACTATTCTGTCTTGATATCCTTTCTTAAAATGATCAGTAACAGCTGCTTTCTTTTCTCTTAGGCTACCACAAAGCATGAAATCTTTATGAGAAATATTTCTCGACAAATACGTGGCTGCTTTATCAATCACATTTCTGTCGAATCCATAAAGGAAGACTTCGTTATTAACCTGTTTGGCGACGCAATGCTGATTACCGTTCTTCAGTACATTACTCACGATGTGTTCTATATCTATAGAAAAACGTTTAAGATCTGAACATGTATTTGTTGCGAACAATAATTTCTTTTCCTTAAGATCCCTCTCCATGGAAAGTAAATTAGACTTAGCATTCCCTACTTCCTGTGTAGTACCACCTAATATACATTCAACGTTATCACCATTTTCTCTGAATCTAATGGTTAAGGTTGGACTATCTCTCTTAAGATTTTCTTGTATCACAGAAGAAAACTCCAATAGAATGCTTTTAATAGGAATGTTTTCTTTTGTTAAACTGTTCCGTGCACTACTTGATGAAGCACGGATTGAGCGCGTTCCTGTAAATGAAATGTAAAACCAACATATACACTGTATAATTTGCATATTATAAAGAAATATGTCTTCATGTTTATTGTATTCTTTATTTAAAACAAATCATAAAAACAATATCAGGCGGGTAAATAAATTCTCAAGCGTATATTGTGATAGCAATAGTAAATTTAGTTTAATTCTGTATAGCATATTTATAATGTCACATGGATTTAGCGACAATAATCCATGAATTGTGACAACTGATACGTTTCTTATACGATCAGTATGATAACATCTGGAGGAGTTCGTTCACAGAAACGCCAAAATTAATTCAAAATCATGATTGAAGAGAGAAAATAAACACTTCAAGTTAAAGCTGCTCGATCGTCATGGCAAGAATTATAGCAATATACAAAATTTATTATGTAAAGCAGTTTACCTTGTTTAGCACTGAGTACATTTAGCAACATTCCTTGCTCTGCCATGTTAGTTGACATGTGTTCTCACAATGATAGTATGTCCTCACAATTATAGTGCATTCGTATAATGTCTGAATAAAAATGTCAATTGTTGGATACCCTATTCGAATTCGTTTTAACTTTGACTTTTCATTTAAAATTGTTTAAAACAATAATTATGTCAGTATACAATGGGTATGAGTAAGAAAATAAGCTTCAAATTTAAAGTGACGTCACTTGTTTTCAATATACATGTATTATACATGCACGTGAAAACAGCGTAGTTCTTTATATTATTCACAATTGCAATACATTAAAAGAGTGTGGTATTTTTTCTAGTTTTTTGTTATTTTTATTTTATTTGTTCTTGTTTGTGTGTTTGTTTGTTTGGTTTCTTTTCATTTGTTTACAAAACAGTTTGCTATTTGCCAATAAGCAATAAAAATAAAAAATACTTAAGTGAAAAAAAGTAAAAAGATTATGAACGGCGGAAGAAAATTACCGACAGATGATTTAAGAGAACTTCCGGTACGGTAATTTATTTTTTCCGTTTATAATGCAAATACAATACTTGTATAACTTAAACCGTGACAATAATAAAAATATTTTCCATTTCACATAAACATTACAAAACTCACGCTGAAAAAAAATGAGCAAAGAGAGGCTCGCAAATTTCAAACTTATAAAATTATTGTTTGAAATAACAACTTCATGTCAAACTGTGCACTAAAATATAAACAAATATTATCAACACGAGGTATCCTTGAATGAAAACTAATTTGACTTTTGACTTATAGCTTCTTTTCTGTTATATAAATATTCCCTAAAATTTTAATGTGTATTCGTCATTCAATAGGGCATGAGGTGTAATTTGAAGAACTGTGGTAAGATCAAGAACGAATGTTAAATTATCCAACAAAGTTTTTTAAAACATGGTAAAAAACAACAAAACATCAGCAGCAACAACTTTAAACACCAAACCTTACTTTGAATACTTTAGAAATTGAAATAAATTGAAAAAATATGTGTTTGAGAAAGAGATCTGCGAGATAAAAAAGAATCCTTATAGATTATGTCAACAGTTAATTTTTTGTATTTTTGTAAATACATGGCGTTTGTCTATTTCTAAATATGGAACGTTTCATTCTATTGATTTGCAAAACTATCGCTTGAATAGACATGTTAACTTGAGTCAATACGAGGCGAAGTATATACATGTATTTATCTTATTTTCTTTATTTTTAAATCAATAATATGGAGATAGTATGCCGATTAAAGGGCACGTCAATTGCATAAATAATTATTACAGAAAGAACAGATTAAATTGTGTTTTATAAAAATACTTAAGAAAACCATTAAAAACTTGAAACCGAAACTTAAATGTTTAAAACATTGAATCAAAACAGTAATAAATAATAAACAAAGTATGTGCGCACAGAGTAAAAAATAGAGTAAAACTTACTGTAGCCTTATTTCCCCACTTTGCATAGTTTTAAGTTTTAAATTTGCAGTCACACAATGCGAAATTGACAGAGACTTATGACAACTCGCAAAACGAAAGCTGGAAATTCCTTAAGCGGACTTTATGATTTAGGTTGAACGACACTATTACACTGTAGATGTACGTGTATAGACTAATCTAAATGTGGGTCAAGTTTGTATTCTACATTAACCCAGACCAAATGTAATCTAAACTTTGCATATTTAAGACAGGTAAAAATTCTCTTGTTTTTTGTTTTTATTCTCCATGCGTTTAAATATAAGAATGTTTACGCTACATGTTTTGTCCATTTAGGTATATTAACTTATTGTAACTCAACTGAATATACCATTATCACTACCTCAGCGGTCTTGCGTCGATATCCTTGCTTTGTTTAGAAAAAAATAAGAAAAGAAAATCATGAGACGATATATTAATAAAAACGTTAGTGTGATTATAGCAATAATTTAATGTATAGGCAGCGCGAGTTGTTCCTCTTCAAAGAGCATGATGAAAATTAAAGTACTTTTTCCTCACATGGTTATGACCCTTATTCAATTTCATTTTTGTCAAGAAATGAAAAAAAAAACAACGATATCTGTTTATATCTGTTCAAGTAATGCATCTATGAGTAAAATAAAGGAATACGATATAAGATTGCATTTTGATAACGAACATTTGGTGGTAATTAAGTTTCCAGTTGAAAGAAGGGTGAAACAAACCTGAATATTTAGGTAAACTCTTTGATCCCTTAGACTCTTTAAAATCTAGAAACAAAGTGATCCCTCGGAAGCATTTATCACAACAAAATTACATGAATATTGCAGAATCGGTTTGATTAAGTCTTTACATGAGGGATAATGAATAAGTGCAACATCTCTCACGCCCCCTAGCACCGGCTTGAGCGGTACTTAATTCCGAACACTTAACAGTGCTGGTATCAATGATCTCGAAGGACCAGAAAAATATGATAACACTCTAGTGAAGTACACGGGAACTTTTCAAGCTGCCACACGGCACTGACACCTGCTGTTGATAAGTATAAAAGTCATTAATCACAACAAAATTACACGAAAATCGCAGACTCGGTTTGATTGAGGATGTAAATGTCTGTGAAATCAAATAGTAGTAGTTCAAGTGAAAGTGGATTCTGTAGTTTATTCAGATTCAAAGGTCATGATGCAGTCTTTTGCATATAATTGCTGTGTCCTGTGAAACAAACTGCATTCTTTTGTTCAGGAACGAAAATTTATTTTCTTAATACGTATGTATCGCTTTGATGCTATTCCTCGTCTGTTCAAATGTAAAATATTGATTTACAAAATATTTTATGCTATCGTTCCTCATATTTCAATCATCTATTTCAATATCATCAGTACTTAAGGTCCATAATGGAAATTAGGGATTAAGGTTTCCCTTTTGTGTTATCCTTAGTATGATGTAATTGACGTGGTTTCAGTTCCTATACATGTTTTAATGTTATTGATTATCATGTTTTAGATAGATTTTCTTCCATGTTATTGCATAATTCTGAAATAAATATATCTATCTAGATATTTTTATCTTATCTAAACAACTTTATTTTCACTTAAACATAGAGCAAAAGTTTCTATCTATTACACTTGTGTAACATATAAAAAAAAGTAATAATATTGATATGTTACATAGAAAACTAGTGAGGTAATGTGACAGATTAACACATAAGTCATGTAATCTATTGGAGACCACTTTTCGTATATTATATTCAAATAGCTTAAACTTATTCACTACAAAAGTAACTCTATTTCTTTCTTGTACCTGCTGTCAAGCTGGCTTCAATCAAGGCGTAAATGATTGAAAAATATCCGCTACTGGGTGAGGTATATCGGATAGACATGGATTAATTTCAATTTATTTTTTACCTATGGCGCTAGAATTAGGAATTTCAGTCTAGTTTAATGTATGATTTTGAGATTTAAACTTATTTTAATATAATGTTAACCGAGTGAATTAATTTTAAATATAAAGCGCCAATCTTCAATTGCGGACAAACTCGAATCAATTATGAAAAGAATGCTCAAGGACTCAGTTAAAATTCATTTACACTTACAATTTTATCAGTTCGTGCAAATACCCGATTCAGAAATTCAAGGGCAGTAACATTTATTTTGCATAGTTTAACCACAGCACAGCATATGCCAACTGCGAATGAAGTTCCAGTAATTTTGTACCCGGTGAATTTCATCTACATGCTCCTCAAAGTTAATCCTTATTAGATATCAATTTGTCTTTATACAAGATGTCATTTTAAAACTTTACCCGCAAATCGTATTATATATTCAATGAATGCAGCTCCTCAAAATCCACCCACACAGACCAACCGACCAGGTAGCCCAGCAGGGCAACGAACAAAAACAAGAGACGTCAGAAACACAAAGCAATGTATAAGAAAAACCTCGGAAACTCAGGAAAAAATACTTAAGAGTGCATTAAATTAAAAGGTTGATTGTGACAATGGTGAAAGGACAGTAGGATCATGGAGGAGGGTGGGGTCGAGACATTATAGGTTAAGGGATCAAAAGAGGAAAGTGTAACATGTATTTGATTGAATAAAGTCGACATTATATGTCAGTAAGCACAATTGTTTTTTTTTTTTTTGTGGTTTTTTTTAAATAACTAAATTAAACTGATACTACTTTATTTGTGCATGAGGAAGGGCTAGAAACGGTATAACAACTTAGACCAAATTATCCTTATATAAAAATTGAAAAATAGCTATTTATTTTCTACATTGGTAAGTACGCATTTTCTGGCCATGTTATTAATAGAATTTGAATTTCTGATAATGTTGTATTGACTTTTTAAACTCGTATTTAAAAAACAATAAAGCCTCGGCAGAGCCTCGTTTTTATCGTTTTCAGATGACTTGTTTAATGGATTCAATACAAAACGAACACTTATTTAAGATTCTCTTATATATTTTTTGATGTTCTAAAGATATTATATGCAAAATGTTTATTAAAATGTATTTCACTGAGGACTACTTGTTTCTCTTGTTTTAAACCAATACTGTTGACTTTAACACAAAAAGTTTCACAAACAAATACCCGTCATGTACAAGAAAATCAAGTTATTTTTATATATAATAGTATTTCATAACAAATAAGTAAAAATATATGCTACAGTATGCAATGATCAAATCAGGTATTTTGTTAACAATTAAATGTCTAGGTAAGAGGTTCTGTATTTTTTTTTGCTTGCATTTCAAACAGGATAATTTGCTATTTACACCGGTTCCAGAAAACCGTTTTACGTTGTGGTCATAAGTTGACGTCTTTTTCCGTTATGAACCAAGTTGTAAGTTGTAAATTTTTACGCTACTATAAGTAAAAAGTGATACATGAAAATAGTTTTTTTCGTAATTTCTTTCCGAAATATGATAGATATTAAGTATGTAAGAAAAATAATCAAACACAGACTGCAGTCACATAAGGGTCGAATTTCGGCAAGTCCTCGTTATCGTCGTAAACAGTTACCCTCGGGCTACATATTCTGGTCGTATAATTCCAATTACAAAAATGTTCTATTGATGCCAGATTCGAAGTTAGTCTTGATATTTTGGAAATTATCTTCAACCTTATTTTATACTCGGTCCCTTTAAAATAATTTTGACTTTTTCAATCATGTAAATACACATATAAACTAGGCCGAGTCCCGTTAACAACTAACTTATTATTCTCGGTTTAACAAAAAGCCGACATGTCTTCATACAAATCTGTTAACATTTGATTGTTTGGTTTTATTCATATTTAAAAATCGTAATAACACAGGTCTTGAAATGCATAATATGTAATTAATTAGACAAGGTATTTTAAATTCAGTTGTGGGGCTGCAACTGACCAAAGTCAGGGCTCGTAAAATAAAGACTGTCATAAACATATTGTAAAGCAAGACCAGGATAAGTAATAAACACAATGAGAAAGTATAAACATTTAATTTCCACTAAAATAATGTTTGAAATGAGCAGTTAAGGAACTATCTCACAAAAAAGGTAGAAATAAACAAATTGTTACTGGTCACATAAAAAATAGATTTTCATAAAATATTTTTATTGATATATTAAAGAAACAATATGCAAGCTTGATGTAAATATTTGAAATAATATAGGTAAAACACATTACACGTTTTGTTTAACATGCAAAAATACTAGTAATTCCCAAAGAAAGCTTAAATGCTTATTTCCATTTTTTATATTATACTGTTAACTCTGTTGAATCCTCTTTTCAGTATTTTTATACTCATAACAGCAAAAGTCAAGTATGTGACAGCTGTAAAAAGTTGTCCCATACTTCATTTCAGTGTGAATATATTTTTCTGGTTCTTCAGAATTATTTTTGCTAAAACTTTACTCTGTTAAAGACTGAATACTGCGTGGCGTAAGCCGGTGTGGGAGGCGTAAAAGGTGTTGCACTTTCCATTATCTTACATGAACCGGGTCTGAAATTTCCACTTTTTATCTCTGTTTATATTGTTCTGGAGAGATCTTCACGTATTTCTTTTTAATGTTTTACACATACCAAAACCAACTACAAAACAGAAAGCACAAAAAACAACAACAATATGGATTAAACATGTTTACCAAAAGGTTTTGATGGTTTGGATGTTACTTCATCTAAATTTCTATAACATATGAATGTGTTTACATGATAACTTCAAAATCTAATTTTCAATAGTTAGAAGCTAACATAATTTACTAATGGCATAAATGGCATAAAGAGAAATCATCTATAATTATCATTTTGACAATTAGAACAATAGTTTAATTCAGCCAATATGATGGTGTTGACTACAAAGATATCAATAATCATTTATAATCGAAATTAAACAAATAAAAGACCATCACCATATAACGGAGAACAAATATGAATGTCAACCAATTTAATGTCCATTATCTAAATAAATATAAATTTTCACAATTTAACAATAATAGATCCTCACAAATCAAGAGAGAAAAAATAATATTCTGGTTTATTATTTGGTGATTTACGCATACAGATATTTTAAAAATCATAATGAAAATAAAAATAATAAAAACCAATAACAATAAAGATGCAATACAACCTCAATAACACAATATTATACACTATCAATTCTTCCTGAAGTAAGCCATCACAAGAAAAGGTGACACATGAAGAGCAACATCTCTCATCAACAACCAAAATCATTGTCTCACAAAGGCTGTTTCTCTGTAGAAGTTGTTCAGTAAAACACATCTGAGTCTTCGCTTATTAATCTAACAGAAATCTTTACATTCACATTTATAAAAGCAGAAATTGCAACAAAACAAGCTTTAACGCCAATGATTATAGGTTTATCTCTTCATAAATGGCTCGGAGACTTCGTTTGTTTGCTTGTCTGCTATATTGATCACCAATCATGTAACAGGTTTGTTTGTTGTTTTTTTTTTTCAGAAAAAAAGTAAACTAAACAAGTATAGATCCTCACAATAAAGCAAAGATAAAACAAATATTATTCATCACCAATATACATGTTGTAATGGTGATAAACTAATATAAATCTTCACAATCATGATAAGAATAATACAAATATACAAACCAACTGTATAACCGAGATAAAACTATTCTAAATCTTCACAAATTGAATGGTAATCAACTGATATAAATATTCACACTTATAAGGAAATAAAAGAATAGGACAGAGATAAAAAGGAATATAATATACATTTAAATTATGTTGATTTGCTAAGATTAATTTTGACAACCATTATTGAAATATTACAGCTATAGATCCTCACCAACGTAATGGAGAACAACAGATATAAATCTTAATTGATTAAGTATTTATAAATTAATATAAATATTTACAATCAAAACTAAAATAATGTACATCTCGATTATCACATTATGGAAATGAATTAAATGTAAATCATCACAATTACGAATAACGAATATAAATAATTATTATTAATCTCTAATCCATGTTGTGTGTAATAAAGTAGAACCAGAGAAATAAACATTTAACGGGTATTGTTATGTATTTTTGTATACATGGTAGAAAGACTAACTTCACTGTTACGATAAATAAAGGTTGTCTTATTAAATATGTTGACTGTTTTCATTATCATAATGGTTCATAGGTCAATAAATGGTGAGTGTCTTCTTGCACTACTTTTTGCACACAATAATGGAGGTCGTGCGATTTGATTAACATGAAATACAGCTTTATGTGGAATTAAAATTTTGCAAGTTGTTTGTATTTGTTTCAAAAAATAGCATCTGTCTCCACTCAACAGACTTCAACTGGATTTTGCCATTCGTAAGCTGTGCATACAACCTTACAAAAGATTTTACTTAGACTTTAGAAATATAGCACATGCAAGGCAAAAATTGTTTTTGTTATAATTTTCAGCTTCATGTATACAAATCTTTAATGCATAGCTTTAAAGTATTTGTTGCAAATAAAGTCATCATTTAATATTGTGCGCTAATCTTTACATGGTAATTGACCTACTTTCACTTTAGACCCACTTAATATAAATCAAACCACTGTGTGTTTTTATGAGACTTTATTCGTTAATAAAATCTTGTAAAATTGAGATTATTAATTCAAGAATGTTTTCTTAATATGTTCAATCAAATTGTCAAATATCGATACAAATGAAATTAAATCAAGTAACAAATTCTTAAAAAAGGTGCAAGAAAATTTGTCTTAAATAACTATCAATAGCAAAGTTTTGGCTAATCATTACCCATTTCAACAACATATTAAGAATTATCATCGACCATTATGACCATTTATAAGTCAATGTAATTTTACATTACGATATGTGCAAGTAGTCTTCATGTCAATGTTTTATTTAAACTGGTTAAGCGACTTGGAAAGAAGCGCACTCAGACTGTCAAACTGATGAACAACCTCAAACCAGTATACCCCATTAGACCTTTGGTTATGCAGGGGTATAATAAAAGTTTCAAAATTATAAAGGAAATGACAGCAGAATAAATGTTCATTACTTTCATGAGTTCAAACTCAAAGATAGGGAAGCATTCTCATTTATAAAATATAAATATATACTAAGGAGGACATAATGAAGAGAAATGTCTAAATTTTGCATAAAAAAGGCCATCTAAAATCAGTTTGAATTCCTGTCAAATTTACAGGGAAGAACTAAATTTTAAAATTACAAACTGAAATCTGAGAATCTCAATGGCTATTGTAAAATAAAATGTAAAGGATTAATTCTAGTCTTTCTAAAACAAAATTTTCAAGATATTTCTAAAAAATGTAAAGGATAGTTCTTGCCGAAAGGAAGTAAAATGTCAAGTTTAGCTTTAAAATGAAATATACATTATAGTGATTTAACTTTCTAGTTTAATTCCTGTGATATTTAAGTTCTGTTTAAAAAAACTTCCTGCAACAAAAAGTTATACACTGCGTTTTAATATCATTTCATTTTTTAGTGAACAGTTCTATTGTTTACGTAAGAACTAACTCTGTTTATTTTACACAAGAACTTACTGAGTTATAAATTTTGTCCAAAATAACAATCATAACATCATATGATGCTTAGATAGACAATTCAAAGGTCAAAATCCACTTGCTTCAGTTCCAACATAAACAACATTTACATTATATGTATAGACATGGGTAACAACTCTTAATATATATGTTACATGTATGTTTCTATAGAAGTTAAAAATAATTGTAGCACATTTGATTAAAAGTATCAACTAACTGATTAAATAATAATTAATTAACATAAAATTGTGGTCTCCTATTTGACTATGTGACATTTCGGAGTAAGCCTCCCTTCAGATGTAAGCTATGATTTACATTGACGCACATTTCTTTCCATTTCAGTTATTTCTAAAATGATATTGACTTCTGTTTTTGTAACTGTAAACAAAAATGTTTGATTTATAAACTGAATAATTTTCATGACACAATATATGCATATGTTTGTACGTTACAATTGCAATTTTGCACAAGTCTGTGCGTTAAGAAAATGCCACAACAATATTTACGTTTATAGTATGAACATAAGCATATCAATCGCACACAGTCTTCTGTCAAATACGAAAATTGCATGTGGCATTTATTTAAAAGCTCATTATGAAAGTACAAAAATAGCAAGAATAAATTATGCTTTTTCAAAATATATCAGCACTTTGTGAAAATCTTGAAAATCTTGTGAAAAAAGGAGTTTTCCCGGAAGCAATGAAAATCACAAACATACATAAAATTAGTTCATGAGATATAATAAAATTGCAACTTCTCTCACGCCCACATACTTGCTCCAGAGTAGAAGTCAGTTGTTTTGTAACAATAACTAAAAATGTGTTACCTTATAAAGCAATGAAACATTAATTAGGTATATATTTTCCCTTAAACGTATATATTTACCTAGCTGTTTAACCATTCTCTGGAAGGTCTGAAGTTAAAATAGTTAAATCTTAAGATATTAATGGCAAGTGCAATGTGCCCGAAAAAAGCACAAAGTAAATATGTCAAACTACAACAATAGAAATACAGCAAATTCAGTTTCAAGGCACAGCACATTTGAAATACACATGTAGTAGAAGTTATAGTTTGTCACAAAATGCATTAAATTTATAAATTAAAATAATAATTTCATGAATAAAATATCTAACACACAATGAAAATCATACCAAAACAACATTTCAAGTACATATATAAGCTTTTAAGTTTTCCATATTTGATAAACATGTATCTTTCTATCTATTTTCATGAATAACAGGGTGACTTTTAAAAGTATATTATAAAAAAAGAAAAGCATGAATAATATTATTATATTCACCTCAAATAAATCTGAATCTTTCGGATGTATGACAATCAGTACTTCTTTTATTGGAACTGCTTTTATGTAGTATTTTGTAAACCTTTCTATTGCCATTACCATTTCAGAGGCCACTTCTTCTATTGGATATTTAAGCGGACCTGTACCAATTGCTGGAAATGCTATGGATTCATAGTTGTAGTCAGATGCTGTCTTTAAACAAAGCCTCATTGCATTCCTTATATTCTGTAAAATTTACCTTCGATTAATATTATTATATAATATTTTTTTCTGAAAGTTGAAAAAAATATTATATTATAATGCAATATCATAATTTCCCCACCTTATATCTAAAATGATACTGTTCATTTTCTTTCTCTGAAAGTAAAAGGTACATACTTTTGTTTGTTTACGCTTACATTTTAAAGCAAAGTCTCATAGATTTTGATTAAAGTGTAAATAACATAACCTTTTAACATTATAACTGCATTATAGTTATAATGATACTAATTGATAATTTCAAAATGAATTCAAAAAATCATTTAATCAACAGCATTGTTTGATGCTATCTAAACATTGCTACGAATTTTAAACTAATTTACAGTTATCGACATTTCATATGTTCGTTTGCAAATGAGCACAACTCTAGATACATGTACTTCAAAATTACATAGAATTAACAAAAGCTACATACTGATATAGAACATTCCGATATTCGTTCTCTTTGAAGAGTGTGAAGAGTAATGTGAAAAACTGCCTTGCAATTTAGTGCGTAGCCACCAGTTACAACAATAATATCAGGGTTTATTCCGTCAGAGAACCCTTTTGTACATTCCTCCTGAAGTCCCCGACCAGCAGCTTTAAGAAGTGCTAAAGAAACTTTGCCATTTAGAAGGTCCAAATCCGGAGAGAAAGTATTTACTATTACATCAGCCTGTGTAAGATGGCAAATGCTTGCAAGATAAATTCCAAAACAAAAAAAAGTTTCAAAATTAAAGCTACATTGCAATGATAATGAAACTGTGATAACAATAAAAAGAATGTCAATAGGATTACTTGATAATAAACAAAATGAGAGCAGACCATTTAAATATGTCAATGTTGACATACATGATGCAAACAGATTTGTGTGACTCAAAACAAATAAACGAAAAATTAATGCAGAATTTTAAATTGTAAATCTTATTGCAAAAATAACATTCAAATCTACCTTAAATGAAGATTTAGGAATAGATAAAAAGTGTCTTACAACAGCCTTGTCCAAATGTCCTTTTTCAATTTTAATTTTTGGTTGATTAAACTCTGTAAAATCAAAAAATGACAACGATCAGACGAATTAGAATAATATTCAATTGACTATTTTATATATTAACACAATGAAATAAAATAGTTATGTCGTATCGTTTCCTTGGAGAATGTGGGTCCATATCATCGTTATGTTGACTAACGCGGTGCGTCCTGTTAGCTCAATCAGTAGTGCGTTGAACTGTGAATCGGACGACTCGGGTTTTCCCGGACGGTGTAGGTCATTTTCTTTGTGTTCAATCATATGAAATCCTTTCTAAGGTCATTCACACAATGAACTTCTGCTCTGGCATGTACAGAAGTTATCAGTTCTTTGCGAAAGTGATGGCATCTAGTACTGGTAAACTGTTTGACAGCCTGTACATGAACGATTTGGTGGCTGAACTGTGGTCTGGCTTATTCAATGTAGCTTACTGCCGTAATTCGAGGTGTAAATTATTAACACCAACAACACCATTTTGGAAAGAGTCATACCTTGAATATTACAACATTTCTGTTGAAATGTTGCGCGCGAATCAGTATAACCATTTGATAAAATACACTTTGTATTGCAATATTAAATTTTCACAGTTATATTCAGTATATCCAATGCACACTTTCTTTACGCAAATATAAATATGAATTTACTCACCTTTCATTCTGGTCCATAAACGAGATCCAAAATATGCATCTGTTTCCACAAAATCAGAGTGATTTGCTACACAAAGTGTCACTGAAAAACCTTCATCTATTCCTGGTCTCAACAGCCATTCAACGAAACTGTTTACCATACATTTCATGATACTATTGAAATTCCAGTTTGCAAAAGGCGAAATCAGGAATGCGACCACTTTTGCTCTGCTAGAGGCAACTTTCCCGAGAGTAGTGTTTATAATGTTGCCTATGATGTTGTCATCGGTTTGTCCTCTACTCACCTTATCTGGAACTGCGATTTCGATAAGGCCATCTCTAATAACTTTAAAGCCACCTAAACCAGCATAGATACAGTTTAAATAATATAAAACAAAAAATAAATGGACGGTAAGATAAGATATTAAAATTTTAATTTTAAAAGAAAGTAGTAAAAAATTATGTTCTTTTTATTTGTGTTTTACTTTAATGAAAAAAATATTTCTAGCTAAATTATCGCTCTTCTATGCAATGTTAAATAAGCGTCAATTAATTTCTAGTTATATAATAGTTTGGAGACTTTATTATTGTAAACGTGTCAGAGTTAAATCATATTATAATACATGCATGGTGCGGTAATTGGAGTGCAGGTATTAGTTACCCGGACTTACTGTCCGTCTAGAGCATGCTCGTTGATTTGCTCATTTTGTCTGGGACATACTGACTTTGACGACATGGAAAGATAATTTGATAAAAAGTCATATTCTGGGGTTCAATATTGTGACTACAGTGAACGTGATTTTATTTTTGCCCATGATACAATGGTACTATGCGCCTCGTACACATTAGATAGCCTCGTGTGTCGGTGCTCTTTCTATTACATACATTAGACATATAATTGGTGATTTTAGTTTTTCTGTTCATTCTTTTCATCACGTTATAGTCTAGTTTTCTTGATCTGTCAATTATGAATACATTTCATTACTCATTTAAATATTCTGACAGTATTGTTTAGAGAATTAATTTGGAATAAGCTTCACATATGCATAATGTACAACTCGTTATACAAATGTAGCAGCCGCAATACCACGGACGGTTAAGTTTCGGTTATGGTTCTTGTTTCGTATTGTATTTTCTGGATTAAAATTATATTTATTGATTTTAATCCAATAAAAATTTACATATAAATTCTCAATTCGATGTTATTTAAAAGGGTATAGACTTTACCAAAATAAGTACAAAACATATTAAGACAACAACATAAAAGCAATAAAAAAGCTAAAATAATGTTGAAAATATAAATACGAATATACATTGACCTACGCGAACCGAATCTTGTAACGCGTTAGACATGTATAAATTACGTACGTAAACCAATTATTTACCCTATTGCGGTATAACGGTCAGTACAATTAGGTCATAATAATACAAATTTAAACAAATCTTATTGGGTGTATCACGCGAACCTAACCTAAAATCTATCGAATATTGATATATTGTGTGTATTTAGTATACAATTTTCATGTTAGTAAAATCACCATCACATCTTAAATTAACGCTCCGCTTTTAGATCTAGTCGTGATCATCGGCGAGCTTTCATAATTTTGATTTCGATGCGTTTATTTTTTTAACCCAGGGAAAACCAATACTGCGTAGGTAATGTTCACGATTTCGAGAACAAACATGGCATTGTCCAAAACAATCTTGCCCATTAAATATTGACTCTATCATTTCAAGTTAATTCGTTAAAAATTACTTCAAACAATTGTTTTTTCCAACAAAAATCAACAATTTGTTTTACTTCCTCGGATAACAGTATTTTGATACTTCTTCTAATGCCTATCTGTGTTAGCCGGTTTGATTGCATGGCTAAAAAAAGCTTTCTCTAGGAAATCCGAATTACAACGAAGGCGAAAGATGTACAGTCGTCATCAGATCTACATGAAAAAAATGACTAGATCAGAACTTTAGTCAGATTGATAAAATCACGAAAGACACAACGTAGCCCTTTGTTAAGCTAAACAATATATCGGAGAAAAATATTGGATATGATCTCCTTTTTCGTTCACTCTATCAATATATTCGCTACAAAATACTAGTACTAGTAGCAGTTACAATAACTATTGTTACCCCTCACTTTTTGTTTTATGTTAATTTTTCATAGGCCACTGGGAATTATTTATACTGTTAATACAAGTGTACCATGTGTCTAAGAAATTTGTGCTGTTACAGGGTAACAGTATTTTAACAGTATAAAATCTAATAACATTGTCTATTATTACCCCTCACTTTTTTCGTAATGCTAATTTCCCATAGGCCTCTGGGAGTTATTTTTACTGTTAATGCAAGTGTACCACGTGACTAAGAATTTTATACTGTTACATAGGTAACAGTATTTTTAAGAGGTCACGTGGTCTATTTCCTAAATAAAATGAAATAAAATGGCCGCCATTTTTTTTCTCGATTCATTCTTATTTTCAACGTTAAACCCCGATAGGACATCAATTTCTCCTCTGGAGTCACTATGACACTCATAAAATTTAGTTGTTTGTACCCTGGTGTGCTTTTCGCGTATAAAATATCTTTTTGTTGAATAGTCAAAAAGTGAACATCCGTTTTCAACGGAAGTAATTGCAATGTAAATAATTAGGTAATCACTTTCTGACATCCCTTTCCTGGAGGAGGCGGAGTTTCGAAGTCACATGCTTATGACATCACAGAAAAACAAGATGGAGGCTTCCAAAACAGAGGCGCGGGAAATAGTCCAGAAAAAATACCATTTTTCTGGTTCAAACTCCCTTCAAAAATTGGAAGACATCATCTTTCAACACGAGAAACAAACCAACTCTCTTTTCGTGTAAGTAAAGACCCGTAAATAAGCTTAAGATACCCTGTATGTTTAATTCTATTATTGTCAATTTTGTTAGAAATTCTACCGAAAAGCGAACGGAACAAATACGCGGAAAGTGTTACTGGACACACAGGGACCCCTCGTGACCTCCCCACTCACAGGCACTAGATACAATTATTTTACCCATAGGGGGCAGGGGACCTAAAAATGAAAAATTTTGTTTTTCAGTGTGACCAGAAACACAATTCCAAATATTTCAAAATATGTTTCACAGGCAGATAACCAGTTGCACAGCATTATTCAATGATATATGACATACATTGAAGAAAATAATAGTTTGCATGCATTGCTCCTTCAAAAAATGACTGACAGCAATTTATATTTACCCCCACCCAGCCAAAATCACACCCTAAAATATACCAATATGTGCAATCTTCATGAAGGTGCAGCATACTCCAGAATCCGCCCGATTCCTTTAAAAAATATCAGTAACACGCAGTGCAAGCTATGGCATTTTCAGAAATGACAAATGAAGTGTCTGTCATACGTTTTAGATTTTTTCACAAAATTTATCTGAAATTTCTTACTTGTTTTTGGCACCAACTGTCAAAGCTTGATTTTTAACTTTTTCACCTCCATTCGGAGAGTCAGAAATACATACAAAGCTACCAAAATGCTTAGTTTCGGGTAAAAACCCAAAAATATATCTCATTTCCTACACACAAAAAGAAAGAATTACAATGACAGAGAAATATCAGAAGTTATCAGTTACCTTCAAAACAGCATGTCTGAGTTATTAAAAAAATTTGACCGGGCCATCATTCGAATATGTCCCCTGCCCCCATATACGCTCATAATACTATATATAAAGAATATAAAGAATATTCTTTATATATAGTATAATGAGCGTATATCAGTGTTTATTCTAGGAGGGGGGATTCACCCCTATTTTTGAGAAGGAAGTGGCTAGCTGTACGGGCCCGTACGGCTAGCCAAAAGTTCTAGCCGTACGTGAGTCACGTACGACTAGCCAGGACACACTGTATTGGCTAGCCGTACGGCACTTTTCAAAAATATATATTGAAGGCGAAAGTGCATATGTTAATTATGACTTTAAGCGAGGGTTTTAGTCAAGATTGTTTACTTTTTAGATCAACGTGTTGGCTACAGTAAATAATTTACTTTGTCATCTCAAGACGTCGAGAAAAAATAGCGTTTGGTTGCAGTTAAATAACATCAATTGAAATAGTTTACAAAATTTGATAATAATCTTTTTTTGTTTCATTAAGTTTAATTTTTAAACTGAAAAAAAAAAAAACACCGAAAAAAATTGTTGTTGGGCTCTGATAATTGCGACAATTACCGCCGGTATAGAAGTCTGTCCATCGTCCATCATTAAGAAAAGTTTGCATTATTAAATTATTTTTCCTTTTCATCGTTTTTTTATTTGTTTGGGTCGTCAGACCAAACAAATAATGGTAGCGAAATTTCAGAGTCTAATGTTGTTAATTGCAAATGCCGAAAGTAGTCCACTTTTTTGAAGCGGTTACTTCCCTTTTGTATGTACACTAAAGCCGAAAAGTTCAGGGGAGATCACTGCGTAAAGATGGTCAAAGACAGGCGCATCAATTTTCAAGCAAAGTAATTCCCGAATGGTCGAAGATTTCTAATATTGTTTTATTGTATTTTCTGATCGAAAATAACTAAATACAAAGCGGACATTCAATCTCTGACACAGAAGTTTACGACAAACCTAACAACAAGTAGTTCTCAAAACAGCTTAAAACTAGCGATTTAAAAGAAAGAAATATTTTATTTTGTTACAAGTATCCAACAAATTACAACGCATTTAAAGTTAAACAATAGCGTTGGCTTATAGAATTGTCAATAAATGCACAATCACAAATTACGCGGATGAATATGATTTTATCAACGAAAATACTATTTATTACCGAATACTACACAAACCGAGTAGTGGAATATATAGATTCTACATGTCGGACTGTTTGGGCGAGAGGATTTTCGCTAAAATATTTACTTCAGTTTTAAACAACAGGTTTACCCTGAACAAAATACCTTGAAATTAAAAAGGATTACAAACCCGAAATGCAATGGAAGTTCTAAATTTAGAATGACTTGATATTATTCAGACTTTCTATGTATAACTTCTCCGTGGTACAGTGGTAACGCGCTCGCTTAGAGAGTGAGAGGTCTCGAGTTCGAATCCCAGTCGAGGAAACTTTTTTTTTTGTTAAATTCTTTTTTAAGTGTTTTTGTTAAGGAAGTAGCCATGATATGCAAGGATAAAGTGTGACTGTCGTAAAAAATGAACATAAATGATTTTTTGATGCAACTCTAGTTATGCAGAATTCCGTATGTATCAAACTCTGGTGCCTTGCAAAATGAATTATAATACATAAAAATAAACCTATACAGGAAAATGCATACAGATATACAGTACGATTTCGATTGCAAAGATCAGAAAATACCACAGAACTTGCAGCCCT